TATTGAGCGATAAACGGGTAACTTGTTTTTGATTAAAAAAAAGTAACACATTCGATTTTCTTCACTTGATATCGTTTGCTTAAATCCTCCCATTGTTGTTTATGACTGTAAGTTATCAATCTCGTATTGGTATATTTTTATCCTGTGCAGACTGACTCGATATTGCCTTGATTTAAAATCATTATAAGCAAAGATGGATAAACGCTAATAGTGAAATCCAGGACACGCGTTTCGTCTTATTTCGGACTCGTCAGCTGGATTTACCTGAATCCCAGGACTCAATAGCTTAGTTAATAATGCGATGGCGTTTATAACAAACAGTACCGCGTTCAAGTCCTGGAGTGAACATCATCTCTGAGATGCAGGTACATCCAGATGACGAGTCCTAAATACGACGAAACACGTCCCGAACTGGATTTCACTGCTAGCCACTATCCATCTTTGATTTTTAGGTTTTCTGTTGGTAATTAGCAGAAGGAAGTTAATAGAACCATAAATTAACAATAACTTTTTTCTTAAAGAATGTCCATTAAACAAAGACCCACCAAAAGGTAGATGACATAGTTCTTTTTGGTATATACACTAACAAAAGTCACAGTTTTCTAAACGCTATGAGTAAAAGTATAAAGCGGGAACTTTAATAATGTCGTCGCTCTTTTGAAAAAGATTTTGAACACTGATTTCATGAATCGTAAAATATTATGGTAATAACAGAGTAAATCCAAGTTTCAAAACATGATCAGGTGATTATAAAGTAAATAATTATTCTTTTTTAATAAACAGCGTACTCAGAATGTTCGTTTATCAGATTTCGTTTCTATTAACTCATTCTATCATTAATGATGTATCGTATTACCTTTCAATAAAGTTCTGTAATTTAAGTTGTAAAGGGCACGGGAAAAAAGTCAGACCTTTTCATAACTGCCCGCCATTCCGTTTCAACGAGCAGCCTCACAAGAGGCGGTCATTCCGTATTTCAGAAGCTGTGGATTTCTTGAGTATCCATTGGGTTGGACGAATATCAAGTGTTCTCATATTTGAGTGGTCTTTTGCTGAAGCAAAACCAAAAAACCACTGCGAAGAATATTGACTTAGCTATCTCTGTCTTGTAGTGCACAAGTTTGATCGATTGTTACTTCGTAACTTCTCAATCTCCCCATTTTGGGGGAAATTTCGCCCGATTTCGGGGATAATTTCGGTCGAGGGCGTCCTGTTCTGTTTGCCTAGGAGCAAAAAGTATTGCGAGTAGATCCTCGACAATATGTAACATGTGCGCGAAAATCCTGGCCGTGCCCTATTTATCTGATATACATTTTATTTACTTGATGAAATGTTTAATTATTAAAGGAAAATAATTATGTTATTGACTGAAGATACTGTATGTCTTTTATGACCTCCAAATCAGCATTGACATAAATCAGTGGAACTACCATTCACAACCAGGAATTATGATAGTGATTTTATATTATGATTAAATAATGAATTTCATCCAGTCCTACTTAGACTACATTATAGATCGTCCTATTTGATCACTTAGTAATTGATTTGGGGGAATTTTTTCAAAATTTTAAGTTTGATGTAGCACAATCTAATGTTTTTTCACCCAACATGGTTATAAGTCTGCGCAAATTTCATTTATACATGATAAACAGATAGTAGGTAGAAAGGAGTGTTCGTTAGTTGAGGCAAGCAGATGTGAGGGTAGAGATTAATCAACAAATATCATTAATTTCAGTTCATTTCAAGGTAAGTTGTGACCAAGTTTCATAAAATTTGTATATTTGTATGCTCAAATGATTCATACTGCTTTACAGTCGTTCATTTTACGCGGATGTTTTAAGAACATCTTTTATTCAACACAACTGACAAAGACTGTGTAATTTAACAAAATCTCTACTCACTGACTGACTTTACTCGAAAACATTCGCTGTATGGAATTTATGAGGAGACTAAAAGTATTCACAAACCAGGGACAAATTACTTGTCAAATGACTATTATTGTGACCTGTAAATTAAGCATTTTTTATAGTTATGATAACAATATAATATTTTTTCCTTCTTTGTGATGCTCTTTGCATAATTTATATCGAATATCTATTGTTTATTTGTATCTATTGTGAATGAATCTGAATGACTAACTTATTGATACCCACGTTACATTTTTTGTTCAAATAAATATTACTTTTTCTGCTTTATTGGCCACGGATAGTGATTGAAGAGTATAACTGTGTTATAAGGCCATCCTACTCTACGTGCAACTGTTGGTCTGTATTATTTTACAATAATAATATTAGATTTAAATTTCTTTTCACGCCGTCAATCCAAAATGTCCCAAAGGAATAATTGGGGTAGTTATTTCAGAAGGGATTTTTAGTATGATGTATTACATATATGTTTGTAGCGGTGAATAAATCCCCAAAATAAAAAGCTCTGTAAGTTTTCGACATTGGATGCTGACCACATTAGTTTTAATGGACTCACCTAGCTGAAGGCGCTCGGTCATGCATCCGCCCAAGATCACGAGTGGGAACGCCGTGCTCAACATCTACTGCAATCGCTAGCCAGATTAGATCAGACAATTCTCGATATATTGACAGCATATCAAATATATCTTCGAACTTCCTCGCTTCTGTCTTTTGATTTCACTTGGTGGGTGCTCTTCATATTAGAAGGCGTTACTGGTTAAAGCGTTGTCAAACTCCGAATACCTGTGGCATCTTCATGTTGTTACTGTTTTGTCACTTAATACTCAGCTTCGCTTTGTGTGTTATTTTTCTGTCTAGGATTATTGGCATACATGTGGTATTTGTAAGAACTAATGATCCTTTGTACATGATTGCCCGCTGATTTCGAATTCCGGATGTTATACGTTCATTCACGCTCTACTAAATCTACCTACCTTAAGTTTCACTATTTCGGGAATTCTTAGTACGGTATTTTGAATACTTTTAATAGTCGTATTGGCGTCACGATGGAGTTGAATTTTGGACAGTTGGATATACATCCAAAATCTGAAGCTTCCAAAGAATACATGGATAGGTTCGAAATCTTGAATATTACCAGAAAAGACGTCGAAGATGATAAAATTTTGGTTCATTTCCCATCATTCATCGGAAAGGATACTTGCAGCCCATTAAAAACTTTAACATAGCATATTTCACTAACCCATGCAACTCTCAAAGAATTAATAATAAATAACGTAAAATGTACTGGTTTTGAATGCTGTAATGGAGCGAAGTTTCATAGAATGATCCGTCGAAATAACCAAAAGCACAGAGAATTTTCCTTGAATCGCAGAAATAAGCTGCCAAATGCAATTTAGCAATGAGCATCGTGTGCAGCCACGAGATCGATTGAGTGCAGTTATTAACATACTCAACAGATTACATTTAACGAAGGCTAAGCACTGTGCTAGGTAATCTGATAGTTAATTATCAATAATCTTAGTAATTTGACACGGCATAAACGCTTGATTCTATGTAAATTCGGGTAGAGATCCTCTCGAGTTGAAAGGAGTGATTCATGGATGTCAATAAATCCCCTAAATGAATATTTCTGCAAGTCCTGAACATTGTTGCTGACCTCGAAATTTTTACTAGACACGCTCTAATTGATAGTGCTCCGTCAAGTATCTTTACTAGATCACGAGTAGGCTCTCCATGCTACGTATCCCTTGCAACTGCTAGTCAGCTTAGATCAAACGCTCCCCGACATATCGGTAGCATTTCAAATGTATATTTGAAACTCTTTGTTTCTGACCTCTGTTTTGACTGCGTTTGTACTTCGATTGCAAATAGATTAGGCGTATAAGTGTTTTCAAACTCCGAATACGTGTGTGATCTTCAGATTTGACAACTTCATGTAATTTAAATCATACTGAGTGATCAATATCTAGCAAGGATAATCATACCGTGTTAATAGGCTTTACTACTATGGCGCTGTCTCAATCAAGTGTTTTAATTGGGTGAAAAGTGGGTCGAGAAAGAAATTTCACTGAAAACTCCTCCACCGAATACAGTAGTTCCGTCAGTCATTAATAATGTTTACGATGTTTGACAAATTTTCAATATCTTATTGTCTCTTCTAATATGCAGAAGGTTCAACTTCTTGGTCAAACTTCAAATACGGTTCATTGCCGCTACAAAAACTACTCCCGTCATCTGTTTAATCAAATTCATTTACGTATTCTCAAATGTCTCTAAAATCATGCTTACAACAAGTATCTGGTAAACTAGTCGTTAGGTGTGCATGAATGAAGATTCTGTGTAAAGATTTATGAAAGTTTGATTTATCAACGAGTGCGAAGTAACCAACATTCTCTCTCATTCCCCCGTATATTCATTAGATCATCGTTGTAGATTAGGTTAAAATTGATACTAGAGTTATCATTTCCAAATCTAACTTTCATCATATATGTGCTCCGATCTAATGTGTATGGTTGTGTTACACTGATGTATTCATATCAGGCAGTTGTTGCTAGTCGTCACCATGCACTAATACTATTGAAAATCTTGGATGTTTGGTTGTCGTGATGCATTTTTGCACTAAATTGGAATAACTGCAAATCCGACTTCAGCATATTGAATAATACTCCTGTTTTTCCCTCAGTGCCGTGAAAACATGAAAGAAAAGTTTCGTTTCTTGATAAAAATTTTGTGACATCCTTGGCAGAATTAAAAAGGCACTCAAATGAATCAGTTATATATCAGTTACAATGATAATGATTTGTAGTGTGTACTCATAAGATAATGAAACGGAAATCTATTAAAAACCAATCCCACATTCGCCTTAGATTGACGTCTATTATCTTCCACATAAGTCGTATTTGGGAACTCCACATTTCCAGCACAAAAATATTAACACTAATTGAATGGCATTTTCATGAACGAATTACTTTAAAACCATAATATTAATAACGTTTAGTTCGTTTTCGTAGAGTCTTTAATTCAAAAAACTGTCAGTCACCATGTGTTTTAATCACTCAAATTAAAGTTGTGTAGGTGAATTTCGCGTCCTTCCGCGCATGTCAATAATCCTCACAATATATTTGGTTTTCTTTGTTTGTGGGTCTTCCGCGAGGTCGCTCTTCAAATTTCCTGTGTATCAATATAAACGCAAAGCCACAAACGAACAGTTGTTTCAGAAAGTTGCCACGAACTGTAGTGATACTTGCCCATTAGAACACAATAGCTCTTCACTCGAATATACTAAATGTGTTCGTCTTTGTATGAGCGGAAGCTGCTACAACTCACTTTATGGCTTTGATGAACTAGAAGAAGGTGAAATTGACGTCAGATTTTCATCGTTTAAAGGTTGTGTTCTGCAAAAACTGAAAGAGAAGGGTTTTCGTGTAATATAAGTAAGTGTTGTTGGTACCGAACATCATTATAAACTTATTTATCTTCTCGTTTCATGCTAAATACGCATTCGACGTCTGTTGTGGTAGGTTAAACGAAAAAATCTTTCGTTACCAGTCAAAAACTCTTTATGTGAGCTCATCGTCAAAAACGGCAAATATAAGGGGCCATTTTATATAACATGTTAGTAATGCTGAGTGCCAGTATACCGGCATGAAATTTACAGATTTCATAGATACCTAATAATATCAATTAGTAAGGTTTGTCAAAATTATTTGACGTTTCTAGGTGCGACTATAATTTATGGACAACCTTTGATGGACACTGAAGTGACCGTAAGAATGATTAGCGTTATGCATTTGGATTGGGACATACAGTCGAACGTCAGGGTTAGGAATTAGATTCGGACTTTTCGTCACCAACTGACACCACCTATATTGCGGAAATGTTATTTAGCCAATATTAATAAATAGATTTCTCGCCGAAATCAACAACCTGTTGCCTTAAATCTGATTGGTTCTACCATAAATCATATTATCGCTTAGTTCTAAAACGACATTTAAATAAGGATAGCTGGCAAGCAGACTACTCATTTTTTCTTAAATTTTTATTTCAGTTCACTTTCCAGAGAAATGGACAACAAACCTACGTCGATAAGATCATCTTTGCCTACTGCTACTAATTCGACAGTTAACTATCATGAAGTATTCAGTGAGTTGGTTCCGGTGCTGACTCAGTGTTTTGGTGTAATTCTCTTGGGTTATATCGCTGGCCTCCTGAAAATTTTTTCGGAACCCCAAGCTAAGGGACTCAACCTCTATGTCACTAGATTCGCTTTGCCCATTGTATTTTTTCGCGTAAGTTTCCTCATGATTTGCCAGTCATTATTTTTTAGTGCCACTAGGGCTTTTCTATTGGTTGACTCACTAATGATTGATTGGTGCATCCTAATTCTCATCTAGTTGAGTATTTGAAAATTAAATATTTGTTCATTCACTTCCTCATATTTCATAAAATACCTCATTTTCTAAAGGTATACTTCATTACGCTACACAACTGTCACGACTTAGTCCTAATCTATAAAATTAGTGTCATAAGAAGTGCAATATTTATTCTTGTCCTAATTACATTGGTAAATTGCAATAATCGAAAGTGAGAATATAGTATGACCAACATGATCAGCAGAAAACTATTTCAGATTAAAGGTATTACTTCGCACATTTTTCCATATTGGTACATACCTCTCAGAAAAGGCTAGTCAACTTAGAAATTCAATGGGGTGTGTTCCGTTTTTGTCATTGTAACAGTTCCATATATTGTAGTCATTTCATCCAACCACAATATTTGTCTTACTGGATAGAAATTGTTTCCATCCTTTTATACTCTAGTTCCAGCTAACTTTAATCAGCTGATCAACGTGAGTAGTTATAAACTATAAGCTCACAAACTTAAAAACCCGTTCACTGACGTAATCATTCCCTCAGGGCATACACAAACGTAACTAAGATTACAACTAGCATTATACTTGTAAGCCAAATACTCAGGGTCACCATTATTCTGATATTTCTAGGTGTAATTTTAATGTAATGTTTCTATATGCAAATGTTTCGTGATAACTTACATAAATTTAGCAAAATATGTCAAAACATCATGAAATTATTTCACTGCTAATTAATTTTTGTATTCACTTAACCGGGGCGGATTTCTTCTTTGATCATGAAGGGATAGATTTTTAGTGAAAAATATCTCGTTTTATAAATGTAGTTGTCAAGCCGTACAGTTTTATTTATGCCCTGATGTAGTTTAGTATAACAGAGTTTTATCTAAAATTATTATACGTTTAAAACCTATTTTTAGAAAGGGAAACAATGATCAGTTTTGAAAGGTCAGTTGTTAAATGTATATTCAGAAGAGTTGTGAAAGTAACGTAGAAAATACTTGAGGGGAAAAACCGGCAAAGTGAGGAAAACATGATTTGAGATATGTGGTTGCAATTCCCCTTCCAGAACACCCTGTCTCTGTCATTTTGTTTTATCCTTTTTAATAATTTTCACTGCTAGAAGATAGGCGCAGGCTCAAAATTTTTGTTAATAGGTGTCTTCGAATCATTTATTGTGTTTTGTGATGCCAACGGGTGTGCAATATAGGGGTTAGGCATATAGTACTTAGGAAACGTGATATCGGTCGACAGTTTTAAATCTTCATTGAATGAGGTGGTTGGGACTTATATTACATTTGTCTAACCGCTGCCTACCTCGACGACTGATGCTTGGTAGTGCAGAAGTAGGCTGTAAAAGAGCTAGGAGTTATCAAGTCAAAATGTAGCATCAATCTATGAAGTTGCTGACTGTTTGTCCGAGCCATGTAGATGGATACAAATTACCCGGTTGAGATCCGCGTATTAATTGTCACCGGTGGCTTCAAACCTTGATCTCAGTAGCTTAGAGTTGTTTGCAATGGCCAAGATGCATTTTGTTTTTATCTCTTTGATCTTGAATATCCCCTCATACTTACGTTACTACTTCGCCTTCTCGTGACAGGGATGTTGTTTACGGAATTGAGAGGACGACAAGCGAATGTCCGGCACTTTAACCGGGTTGGTGAATGCGGAGAATCCACCTAGGGGATTTGGAAAACCCTGATTACAAACCAATGGTGTATATGGACTCCAGGATCCTAAGGAAACAAATGGCGTATGCACTCATTGTTGGTCACCAGTTACCATGGGACTGCATCTCCTTATGATGTTCCATTGCCTTTTGGATTAGACCTTCAGGTTGAAGGCTCCGGGTGTGGTTCCCTAAGAAAACCACCCTCTTTGGTTCGCGCACTCGGGCAGTATCCCATCCCTCATACAAATCTAGTGATTTATGCGGCGCATATCTATTTGGTGCCTCATTTTACCAATGTTTATGTGTTCGAATAAATACATATGTTTTTTAAAACTTTATTTAAGAGTTTTAGTCTTTCTGTCATTGCTACCACATTACTTCAATCCTGTTTTGTATTTTTCTATTATGGAAACTTGGACTTACATTTACTCTAGGCCCCATGTTGATAGTATCTAACTGTTACATATAAAAATAGAAAAAGTTCGTTCTCTGTCTAGATATGTCTTCATACGTTTAAGAATCCATATTCGCTTTTGGGACATTTATGGTCTCTGTCTTCTCATTAAGAAAGGGCCTATAATTAGCAAAATATCGAAACAAACGCCTGACAATTAAAATGGGATGGGAAATAGCAAGGGTTTTTTTGGTAGAGGTAGCGAACTCTGATTTCTTACCTATGAGTCGTGTAGGCTCTCAGGCACGGAACAAATAGTTTCTAAACCCACTTGAATAACTAACAACCATAGGTATTGATCTTTCGACTTACTCCTTCTACTTTGCGAGGTAGACCCTTGAGTTAAAGACCCAAGGAATTAATGAAATCATTTACTTCGGCTTGGACATCCAAACAATTCAAAAGCGCTCATACAAATTTCACTAAACCAAGTCGGGAACATAAATAACTCACTCCTCAAACACCCGATCACACACATTTTGTGATATATACCATAGTGCTCTGCTCTACTAATCATGTTTTATCTTATGAACAACTAAAATAGTAATCGATCGATTAATAATCTTGTTTTTCCACTGTTCACTTATAAATCAGTAGTTGGTGTACAGTCACTATTATCTTTTCATTGTCTGACTGAAAACTTTATTGGTTTATTCTAGGCCATGGTAACAATTAATTTTTCTGGTGTCTGTTGGTCTTTCGTCATGGCTATATCTATCAGTAAATTGATCGGTTTTATAATGGCAATTACGTTCACGTATTTAATCAGTCGACGTTTTCATCTGGGCATAGCTGCTATTGTTGCTATGTTTGTATCGCAGACCAATGATGTAGCATTAGCTTATCCTATACGTGAGTTGTTTATAATACTCTCTTTTCCATTAATTAGTAAAATTAACTTGCTTTTGGATATTTAAATGATGATAAATTTCGTTTTTATATACTCGCTTGTTGATTTTAAAATAGACTTCAAGTGTACCTAATAACGAGTGCTTTAAGTTTAAAAAATTAGTCATTTTAATAAGCAAACGTATTTGTATTCGCGTATTGGGTTATAAGCTACGTCAATTGTGTAAGTTCTGGTTTGTGTGCACATTTGAGCATTCAATATTTCCTGTTTACTCACACCCTGATAGTAAATCTCTTTTTGGAGGATTTGAAAATGTATTTCTGTGGTATTGATGACCTGTAAATGGGAATCCAAACCCAAAAGTTAACTATTAGAAGTCGTTCACATGTTACCTTTTTCTGTTCTCTATATTAGCTCCCCACTTTCTAAACATCACCATCAGAACCAAAAACCGATAGCGCAAGAAGGCGAACGTTCTTTTTTTGTTAGTTTGACAATACTTTTTCAACTTATCCTTTCGTATTTAAGCAGGTTGTCTCTGAGGACGCTGGTTATCCGCTGAAAATACATTATTGTTCTCAAATGACATTGCAGTCAACTTCGTCTTCAGGTTTAATACTCGATGTTTTTGGTCTTTACTCTTTCCGCGTAATCTATGTGGTATGGCTGAGCCTTAATAAACGTGTCCTAACCAACATACCTTTGTTATGCCATCACAATAGGCGAACCGGATTGCTGCGCCAAGGTAGGAACAACGGAGTTCGAATATGTGAACATTGCGTTCATATCAGTCAGTCATATCTCTACACAAGGTGGATAATAGTCGGGCGAAATAAAGATACAACCTTAATTCACTATGACAGTTACTCCGTTATTTGTTTGCTAACTGAATTCAAAGTTCAGTTATTTTTCCATTTTCTGAACTGACCGACTAGATAAATGTATAGCATGTAATACAGTAGTTAATTACTTCACATAACTTCAGTCCTGAACTGCCTGACGGATAGAAGACCGGTAAAAATAATGAAATTATTGAAAGAGGTTATTAAATGATAAGAAATATGTAGAAGAACAGTAATTAAAACATGTTAATTAAGTTAAGATAATAGGTGAATGTATCAATGACCATGGTTAGTTTTATTCTATGCTATCTAAATCCTTCCAACCTATGAACTCGTTTTAAACATTTAGTGGCAGAAACTTGAACACCATGACCACTGAACACCCGTCATTCATGTGGTGAACCATAGTAAGGAACGTCAGATGTTGCAAAATCTATGGTGTCGAGAAAAATATTAGTAGCCACTGATATTGAATAACATCCTTTGAATCATTCTCCGTAAATAGAACCGCAATAACTATTTTCTTACCCTAGAAATCCTAAGCTTTGTTGGTGATTTTAGTTGAAATTTTATTAATTTTCATCCAGAGACTTGACATTTACAATCATTATAGTTTTAGTCACATGTTCCTTGTCTGTAAGATTGCTTCTCTGGATAATTTACTGAAAATTGCTATGTATCATATATGTTAGATAAATCTCTACGGGTAATTGGCTCATCATATAATTTTTTAATAATTGCACCCAATCAGTCTTAACCAATGTACGACCTGGCTCAGATATGTACCAATCTCAGTTGTCACACTAGATCAACATAATGAAACGAAATTATCAAGACGAATAGCACAAGACTTAAGACAATAGTATTATCATTAATAGTAATAAAGATCAACTTTAGAGAATATTGTCCGGCCAGAAGGAATAGAATAATAAATCTGAATTAACAATGAAGCTCAGCACTCAGAAAAAAAGATGAGAAATAAATACATCTGTATCACTGAGGTCGACTCAGAAGGCCCGATTGGTTTTTACCAACTTGCGTCACTTATGGCGTAGGTGAAATACCCGTTTTCCAACCAATAGGCGAGCTTGCTGCGCAGCAGTTCGCTCTGTTCTACGTTGTGGATGTGAGACATGGCTATGAAGAGTAAAGGATATTCGTGGTTTACTGGTATTCGATCATAGGTGTCTGCGAAACACTACTCGTGTATTTTGGAAACACGGAGTAAGCAATGCCTGGGTTAAGAATAGAATACTAGGCAAAGATGGCAAATCTATTGATGAGGTAGTAAATCTTCATTAACTGAGGTGATTTGGATATCTATTACCTATGCTCAGCCACTACCTACCTCGATGAGCGATGTTTTCTGGTGCAGGAACAGACTGGAAAAAGGCTAGGGGAGGCCAAATCAAAACATGGCATCAGTCCATGAAGTCACTGGTGATTGAACTTAGCCATGTTATTAGGCACATACCACCTGGTTGGGATCCTCGTGATTGTCGTAACCAACGGTTAGAGACTTTAGATGAAATGGCTCAAAATCGTTTGCAATAGCACAGGCGCATACACTCTTCGTCTCCCCTCAAATCCTAAAATTTTAAATTCCTCATAACTTTTTCTTCTTTTTATTTCACTAATTTGTATTTTCTTTTCCAGTCGTATCTTCCATACCTAATCTTTCATATTACCTCTGATACTGTTACTACCTCTACTATTTTGAGGTTTGGCCTGACAAATTCATCTCTCTGTGCTAATGGCGTATAACAACTTGAACCAATGTACATAAGTACAGGTTCTACGTTGTGACTGACTGAGACCGATTTCGAGATATGCTACTTATAGTCTTCAGCCATCGCTCATGATTATCATGTAAACCTCGACTGGATAATCTGCACCGTCAAACATGGTTCATATCAGCAGTGAGTGACTCACCGGACTGATACTACACCTTGGTTTGATGTCCCCTAATTTTATTTCAACTTATTTCTGCTCCATCCAACACTAAGCATTGTGGTAACTAGTGGTTGTGCACCTGTGACTTATGTCTCGATTACTCAGTCAATGGATAACTTCGTAGCCTCAACATACTTGAAATATTTACCTATGACCCGGCGTTTAATCTCTGCAGTATTACTTACCTAACTGTTCTGCTATATGCCATCAATTATTTGAATATTTTTGTGGTGAAATAAGAGTAGCTATGGATATCCTCTACTCTAGAAACGTCCTATATCACAGCCCTAAAGTAAGACAGGGGAATAATGTCTAGTATATTCACTGTTTAATAAACAGAGAGATATCTTCCTTACTCAACAGGTGAGACGATCTAGTAAAATCTAAGCAAGTGTTATGTGTTGGTGCCAGGATTTTGCCAGCCACCAGCTCATTAAGGGTGATGAAACTTCAATAACAAATGAAGTGAAAAATGCACTTAACTACTTTCCTAGCACTCCCTTCGGCCTTTCTGGGTGTTGATACAAATCTGTTCTGAATCAACAATTCACATTACTGGTCGATTACGTTCTACTGTCATATTTTCATTAAATAACCATCTCTTTGTTTCCCTCTTTTAAATTTTAGTCTATGCTCTTTTCCCTGATTTGGCTAGTTATATTTATTTATTTGCGCCAATCCAACTGATTGTTCTTAATCCATTCGCTTATTTTCTATTGGAGCTAGAACGAGTCAGACTAACTAATAGTGAGCTTAAACCGTTAATTCATAGTGAAGATAGTGATATTGATAGAAGACAATTAATAGATGGTAAAAGCTCGAATTCAGTCCCATCATGTGGTCGATGCCAACAATTGACACAGGTAAGGCTTTTCTATAGAACCAACGCTTTTTTGTATTTAACTACATATATTCAATATTTATTATTGTAATGTAGCTACTTAGAAGTGGTTGAGGAGTTCGGCCTTCTGAACCACTAGTTCACATATTCGAATCCCATTCCACTTACCTTGGTTTTGGCGATCGGGTGTAGTATCACGAACCATCCATGAATATCCAAAGGAAAAATGGTCAAGTGAAGACATGTTATGTAGATTATGTCAATTCATGTGGACTAGCGATCAGGTTACCTACACACATCCTTGGAGCATAGACCGCCAACCAGAATCCTCCAACCAACTATCCTAACCTCCCCTTTCTAGTTGTTTCCAAACTATGTTCATCCTTTTCATATCTGACTCGATTCCCCGACGCAGTGTTCTTCGGTCTGCCTCTTTTCCTTTTGCCTTCATGATTCCATGTTAGGGCTTTCCTTGTGATGCAGTTTGGTGATTTCCTGAATGTCCTACCAACTTCCAGCATCTTTTCCAGATTTCCTATTCAGTTGGAAGCTCATGATATCCGACCAAAGGATATTAAATATACTGTGCAGACAACTATTTATAAATGCCTGTACTTTTCTGATGATTGTTGTGGGGATTCTCCAAGTTTCATCTCCGTACAATAGAACTGACTTGGCCTTTGTATTGAAGATTCTGACTTTGGGGTCAGCCGACAGTTGTTTTCACTCCCATATATTCTCTAGTTGTAGGAATAGTGCCCCTCCTTTGCGAATCCTTATCTTTACATATACATTAGGTCCCCCTTGTTTATTAATGATAGTGCCGATACCCGTAAAAGTTCCCACCTTTTTCGAAGCCTCTCCATCAAATGCGAACCGGTTGTTGCTCACTGTTGTATTTCAGGATCCTGATTTTCTCCTTGTGTATTTGGAGGCCTTTCGTTGAAAAGGCTGTTGGTACCCTTGATTTCTTCACCTGCATTTGTTGATGTGTATGGGATAGAAGGACCAGGTCATCTGCGAATTCTGAATCATCATACTCCACCCATTTTCATTCCTTGCTCCCAGTCCATGTCTTCATACCCGGTGTTACCCATTCCGACTTTGGCATTTAGGCTGTCCATCAGGATAATCAGGTCCTTTTCTGAGCACTTCGCTATGATCTATTGCAGCCTTCCTTGAAACTGATCTTTATTGTTTTCGTTGCTTCCATTAGTGGGTGCATAGCACTGGAAAACATTCATTGTGACCCCCTCCATTGTTTTGAAGGATGCTTTGATGATCCTAGGTCCATGAGATTCCCATCCTATAAGTTCCTTTTGCGCTCCTTTGTACAGCGTTAGTGCAACTTTCTATGTGTGCGAAGCACTTTCTTGATGACCAGGGTACAACAGCATGTTACCCGAACCTCATGTTTTTTGTCCAGCCTGCATCCAATCGGTTTCACTTATTCCGAGCACCACAGTTTTGTGTCTCCTCATTTCTTCAGCTTTCTAACCGATCCTTTCAGTCTCCCACATTGTACGGACATTCCATGTACCTATATTAATCGTTGCTCTAGTTGTTAGAAAGGGCATCGGCCTCATAACTTCCAACGAATCTCGGTTTTCACCATAAGGCCTCATAATCCTTCTAAATGAAGACCCTTCAAATCCCAAGATACAGTGTGAATTGTTTAAATGATTTTTGACAATATTTTTTCCTACTGGATGGGGCTGTTGACCCCATGCCCAACTCTTCTCCTTTATCCGCACTTGGGACCGGCAGTAACCACAGAAGTACTACAGGCCTATTGCCATTTGACTAATTGAATCTATATAATACCAAAGACTGCTCAATACAAAGTAGTTTAATAGTCCGTGATTAACTAGTTTGTAAACATCTTAGTCTTATTTGAGGTAATTTGCAGCCCAAAAGAAACGTTTATCATTTTAAAACCGAGCGACACGTAGAAAATCACTCCCTTCAAGGTTAAACCTACTTGTTGATAAGTATCAACTCGAATAAAACCTAGATTACCCCCAAACTGCCACGGATATTAATAATTTCAAACAATTTGTGGTACTCAATTAAATTCAGATTGATATGTTACTAAGCTTTGAGGCTTAATTTGATTTATTACAAACATAATCCTACTTCAAAAATTGAATTTCATAAAGTAGACAGCTTAAAAACTGAATACCACTGGTTTAAATACTGGAGTTCCGACTTTTTTTTGTGAATACTAATTGATAGAATGGTATTTGAACTTGTGTGAATTTAAATTCTTCTATCGTTGAAGATTGAAATGGTACAGTGTCTAATGGTGTTCTGAGTGTGATCTACTCTAGATAAATAATAACTATCATTATTGGTTGTTAATTACTCACTAATTTCAGTTGAATATCTTTTAAAATTTTAGCAGTAATGATTTTTTCAATTAGAGAACTCAAACCCTGTTTGGCATGCTGTTTCCATAAATGACTGAGATTTTTTCAGAACTCAGCAACAACTTTCCGTCTACTTTAAACCGTTTTTCTACTGACTTCAAAAACCTTTCTCATTATTAAAAGATTATTTATTTATTTATTTAAACACATAAACATTGGTACAAGGAGGCACCAAACAGATATACTCCACGTCAACCATTCGATTTGTCTAAGGGGCTTGAATACTGCTCGTGTGCCCGATCCAAAAAGGTGGTTTTCTTGGGGAACCACACCCGGAGCCTTTGACCTGAAGGTCTGATCCACAAGGCAGTGAAGCAACTTCAGGAGATACAGTTTCATGGTAGCCGATGACCAACGATTGGTTCATACGCCATTTGTTCCTTCAGCATACCGGAGCCCATATGCACCATTGGTTTGGAATCAGGTTTTTCCCAATCCCCTAGGTGAATGCTCCGTATCCACCAACCTGGTTAATGTTCCGGACATTCGCTTTTCGTCCTCTCAATTTCTTAAACAACACTCGTGGTGCGAGAAAGCAGTGAGTAGGACTTCCCTGAGAGTGGTTGTATGCACGTAGCCATGTGAGAGCATTTGGATAAAGAGTGCTGACTCTCCACACTCTCGACCGTACCAGGGCATTTGGGGGCTCACCATACTCTTACTTAATTACAAATACTCGGAATTATTAAATTTTAGATGACTTTCTTTTCAGCTACATTGTGATCAGGTTTATTCAACAAGAAATCTGTTATTTACTGACAAATGGAAGATATTTATGCTTCATTTTTGGATAGATGCTAATTCTCTTCATAAGTTTATTAGTGTATAATTAACTAAAGTTTGTCAATGAACTATTTACAGTGCAATTGTACTGAATACATGTTATCATCATGACTGTTATTATTCTCTTGTAATTATTGTCTACATGTATCCACTTATTTCTTTCTATTACATAGGTTATGTTCAATGTTCTCAAGAATCCTTTAATTTTCATGACTTTAATTGGTATCATTTTTAATCTTATATTGAAGCACCATTTACCAGTGTATATAAATGGCTTGCTCAGTGTTATAGGTGAGTGTTCCTGTTTTTTTCTTAAATTACTACTATTTCTGACTTTTTATGAGGGTAATTTTTGTTAAAGTAAGATAAAAAATCGAAATTATAGTATCATTGGAAATCAATATTCTATAGATTGTTATTTTTGGTAGTTTGAAACTCTCCATTAGTATAAGTGCTCACTGGCATAATCCCTTCCTGCCTCACATGGTATTGAATACAAAACTTTCAGTTCTCATGACAAACACGATATCTTTGAGCCAATCTTATAGCGCATAGGTTTCACGTACTAATTAGTTGTTTTTTATTTCAGTATTGAGTAATATGTGGAGATAAATAGTACCTAGTCATATCAATTGATATCGGATTGTGTGTTAAATGAATCAGAACTATCTAAGTACAGAACTGTCGTTTCGTTTAAATGCAGGTTGAAATCACCACTGATAGATTTATGAGTATTCATTTTGGAATGAGTAAATTATTCTGTACATCAGCACATCTGGTACATCAAATTGATCAGAGCTATTTGGACCAGTGATTCAACAATAACATCACTATGGTCAAATTCCCAACTTGATTCAGTTAGACGTCTAAATCTTTTATATTTTTCCATAATGTACAGATTAAAATTTAAAAAATGTTATACTCATTCAGTAGTAATTCACTTCTGATATTATGAACAAGAATTAAACGTCACAGTTGAGTCTTCATTTCACTGACATATGGGTGACCTACGAAATACAATCGCTTCTGTTTCAAATGACCGTTATTCATGTTTTTTATGCTGGTGGGTCATTGAAAATCAAAAAGCACTGGGCAGCTATTTCTTTTTAACTTTGGATTCCTCATTAGTCCGCTCATCATACAACAACTACACTACAAAACTCATAGGATATAAATTCGTGTATTTGGCTTCGAGCCTCACTCTACATATGAGAGCTGATGATATTGGCAGTTGTCCAATTTAAAATAGATGGAAAAAATTTCAAATCTAGTGTTGAATGATTGAAAGTCGTACACTTTTAACTGTTGAGTCACAGCTCCACAAACACTAGACTGAATCCAGAAAATTTTGAGCCTTCTCGTCAACTGAAATCCAATAGTCCCTACTTTTAAGAAATTCAATCAGTTTATCATGTTTAGTCATCAATATGCTGTCTCGTTTCTATGCTGCCGTTAACCGAGATGTAAAGAAACTGGCCCAGATCTCTCCGATTTTCAATAACTAATTTAAAATCTCTATAAAAACCACTTCATTAAATACCAGTTTATGGCAATTTCGACGAGTAATGTCCTAAAGAGAGTAGAATCAACCTCGAAGCATATTTTTAAAAAATCCTCATGTGATTGTAGAGTTTTACTCTAGTTGATTTGTTTTTTTTTCATGTCTGTCATCCGTTTCGTTACTGATTGCCAGGGTTTGTTGTATTTTTAATCTTGCATGCAAGCTTGGCCCATTATAAAACATATTTTGTCTCTTTAATATTCTTTTGAAAGCTGACTCCTTCAGTGCGACTGCTTTATTTTCACTCGGTTATAGTATGGTTGGCAAAATGTCTACCATCACTCAAAGAGAAGTTTACATTTTGACAACAATCCTATTGACAAAACTGTAAGTTCCCTTTCTTCAATGTGTGTCTACTTCCTACGCAGTCTGTATTAATAGCTTCGGAGGTTCGTGGAAACTGTTTAATTTGAAGTTCGCTCACATAACGAACGGATTTTACCTAGATAATTATTGAAAATAGGGAGTATTGAACGGTTGTTTCGTTCTAGTATCGAACTTTCAATCAGCAGTGTGTATCCATACCCTCAGATCTCACATCGAATGAGTCAATTCTAGATCCCTGAGTCGACAATCAATGTTTCATATTTTCGATTTCAGTTAATTCGTGATATTTAATAAATATAGTCGGTTGTAGTCAATGATACCTGTCTCACTCTTGAAAAATACCATCAGCCTCTTTTTTCCTCTCCAAAACTACAAGAATTCTATAAATTGGTCACTAGTGAGTAAATGAATAATTAATGCAATTCATTTATCAACTACAGATTAATGCATTTGACATTGAGCCACGCTGTTTATAAGAATTAGTGATACTACCCGAATGCTGAAACTAAAATAAATGAAACATGATTCGGATCTGTAACCTATTTAGTCGAAAGTCGATTACTTTAAATCCACTAAATTATCAACTTTATGTTGATATTTGGTAAAATATAACGAAATCTCGCGTATTTGTCATTTTCGTTACTAATATCACCAGCCTTCGATGTTTACACTTTGACTCCAGTTAAATGAAGTCAGATTAAAATCTGTATTGAAGATAGTTATAATGTGAATTAATGAGTTTTTGCGAATTAGAAATTTTATATTAAGTTATACTCAGGATACTAAGTAAAGATATCAAATCGGTCGATGAGATATTGCATATTTATCGATTGCTATATTTAGGACATGTATTAAGTATTCTCATCCACTCCTTACCCTGATACTTGGTGATGGCTAGTGTAGAAATAGGTTGGAAGTAAGTTAGGGACGGTCAAATCAAGACGTAGCATCAGTTCATGAAAACGCTGACTGTTAAACTGAGCCATGTTGGTATATAAAAACTAACTACCTGGTTCGAGTCCTCGTGATTATAATAACCAATGGTCGGAGGATTTGAATGACAGTAACTCAGAATCGTTCACAATCGCACAAGTACAACCACTCTTTTTTCTTTCCTAATTTTCTAAATTACCATCCAATTTTTTTTGGTTTCAATAATCCATATTTTCTCCTCGAATCTTATCTTCGATACCCAATCTTTTCTACTATCATTTAATGTTACTACCTCTAGTACTCTGAAATTCACCTTGACAGTTTTATCTCATTATGCTAATGAAATGTGACAACTTCAACCGATGTACACATGTACGAAGTTGCACGTTGTATATAACTGTTTGACTAAACTATATTTATTAGATTTCTTCTTAGAAAATGAAGTTATTTATACTGATTAGTAAGAAGTTATCATTGTAGAATTCTTCACCAAATTCTAAATTCTAGTCACGATAGTCATCTATTTCTCAATTTTATGAATTAAATAATGTCGACACACTTAACGTGCGTTTCTTCCTAAAACCAGCTTACGTATTTACACCCACGGCGGGACTCGAACCCGCAATCTTCTACTTAGGAGGCAGACGCCTTATCCATTAGGCCACATGGGCAGACGTTAATTCGCTGAGATTTTACAAATACACTCTTCTTCTTTAACAGCTTACGTATTGCTACAAACTTTAAAGTAGTTTTTGTAGTTTTAAAAAAAGATGGTTTACGAAATCACATGTCTAATTTTTTCTCTTTTCTGTTACACTTTAATTTAATAGTTTGATTGTTCCTTTTATTACACGTGAACTTGTTGTTCAAATGATGCCTATTGCATTAGCTAATGAAACATTACGTTATTCTACATTTGGTTTCTTGTATGGTACTACACCGACAGCCCCACCTGTGTTCTTATTTGCTGCTGAATATCAAGTTATACCTGTGGCCGTAAGTTTATATATTAATAAATGTATACTGTCTAATTGTATAAAAATTGCTTTCTGTCATTTTACCGATAGAGTGTAGTTGGTTTTTGAACCTTTTCCTCAATGTCTACTTTCTAATTTAGACAGCTAAGTGATATGACATGGAGACTTGATCAAATTTCTGACCTGTTGTTTTTCCAAACATACATTGATTACTGGCAATTTCCTTGTCTTAAAACTGTCTTCGTACACTGTGTTTACCAATCATATATACTTACTGGCTTTCATAAAATGTTGAATATCTATCATGAATCTTATTACTGAGAAATTCAGAAGTATCACCATGGTAGTCTGCATATTTTCCTTATGCGTCGTTTAAAGAAAATTGAAGTAATTACTATAGAATTCATACATTTAATATATTCATTAGATGTATTACAACCATTGGTTACGATCGTCACGCGGACCCCAACCAAGTAGTCTGCATCTACTAACATGGCACAGACTAGATGTTACTGACTTCGAGCACTGATGCCATGTTTTGGTTTGGCCGCCCCCAACTTTCTTCCAACCATTCCCAACACTAGTCAGCATTGCGCGTCGTGGTAGTCGGTGTTGAGGTATACGTAATACGTGGCCCAGCCAGCTCAGTCGATGAGGATCCACAAGCTCATCAACTGATTTACCATCATTCCGTAATACCCTGCGTTTAACCTCACTGTTACTTACTCGGTGATCCCAGCAGATGCCAGAAATATTTCTAAGGCATCTGTGGTCAAATACTAGTAACTTGTGAATATTTTCTACTCCTAATGGCCACGTTTCGCAGCCGTGAAGTAGAGCAGGACGAACTGCTGCGCAGTGTACTTGTCCCTGAATTAATAGGTTATCTCACATTCGCCATAGGTGACGTAAGTTGGCAAAAGCCAAACGAGCTTTTCGAATCCATGCTGAGATTTCTTCAAACACCGACCCATTAGGGCTGATCAGATTTCAAAGATAAGTGAAGTTGTCTACGCGTTCGACTACTTCACTCCCTATCCTTAGATAAGGTGTTGACGCAGCCCAGTCCTGGAGCAACAACTTGCATTTAGAGGGAGAGAAACGCATCCTAAGCATCCTGGCATTGTTTCTGAGTGCTACCAAAAGACTGCATTTTATCAGAGTCTTCACCAAACAGGACCATGTCATCTGCGTATTCTAAGTCGATAAGTAAACCTCCTTGAAGGGGATCAATGCTTGAAAATTCAGTCGACGAGAACATTATTTCCGGCAGCAGGTCTATGATGAAGTCGAACAAAAATGGAGATAGTGGACAACCACCTTACCGGACACCACTTGAGGTTGAAAAATCAGATGAAAGTTCGCCATAAGCTCTGACTCGACTAGTAGTGTTCGAGTAAAGAGCCTAACAGCACTCAAGATCACTATCCCATTAGGAATAATGAAGGAACGAACGAGAAATGAAGTACTAACATAAATTATCCGTTTAATTTCGGATATTTTACATAGGCTAACCCTGTTTGGGGATTTCATCTCGAAGCTACTTCCTCGTAAGCACTGAACAGATCATTTTACCAATCATACTGATTGATGCAATTGTCTTATATATTACGAGTTTATAGTCCAATGTCTAAACCAAAACGCCGGAATAGAGAAGTAGACCGATAAATTCGAGCAGTCTATGAAGCCAATGAATGTTGAGTTAATCGATGTAAGCTTTATAGTTGTAATGTAAATTAACCATGCCTTGGATGGACTTGGTGTTTAACTTCACCAAGCTACTATAACTTCATGATTAAGTACCAAGTTCATTTCGCATTAAGCCATTATTATTATTATTATTATTATTATTATTATTATTATTACTGTTTTATCCAAGAACGTTATCTAGAAGAGATTAGTGACTCAATTGAATTCTCTCGGTTTACAGCTAATAATCAATCGGATGCATTAATTCTTTTGTCCTATTTACAATTCTTACTTCATAAACTCATTTATCTTTCTCATATAATATTCTCATCGTTAATCTTTTTCGACTACTACTGATACTATTACTACTTCTACAGCTGATATTTGTCTTCATAATTTCATTCCATTTTATTTACACATGCTGTGTAGCAACTTGAACCGATCTACAAATTTACCCGATTTTCCATTGCTTAATTCTCCATTTATTATAAATGAAAAGATGAACACAGTAGGAATTAACCACGAATTGAACAATGTAAAAGTAACTGTTTAACACACATGCACAGAACAACACAGAATGTTTTTGTATAAAAGTGCATTGATTTATAGATGACAAGAAGAAAAGAACAAAACAACAACAGAATTTAAATGAATTGAAGAGATTATAGTTTGTCGTCGCTTTATTGAATGAAAATGCACTTTTTTTACTGTATAGAATGTTGACACAAATGAAAAAATAAGAGGTGAAATAATAGAGGGAGAGTAGAGCAATAGTTTATGCCTTTATCATCATACGTAATAAGTATTTTTCTTTTTTTAATCTTTGTAATGTTTAGCAGATTTCTGTTATCACATGGCTTCGTGATTTGTTTTAGCACTTGGACAAAAGCGTCTCATATTTTCATTTATCCTATTATTCACATGTCTATACACTTATGTATGCTAATACATGTGCGTCTATATGCTTACTGAAATCTCTTTCATGCTTATAAAGACTGAGTCATCCATTATTCATGAAGTTGAGACGTCTGCCCTCTGTAATCCGCTTTTCATCAGTCTCATTAAAATCATGGACCGACCCAAGGTGTGAACCACCACTGAAAACCTGGAAGCACTGAGCGGGCGCCTCTTCTTAGTACGTTACACCTCAGTAGTGTTCATTCACAATCCCGCATTGAGGGGCAAAACCTATGACATTCGACCTCGTGTGCGAACTCTAGACCGCTGAGCCAGCATCCAACAATGTTGTTATCTAATCTCAATCAATGTCGTAGATCCGTGTGTAGTGTGAGGTAGTTACCACCAGAGACAATGGAAGATTGTTGTGTAATATCATGGTTTGATTGAAGTCAAACATTAACATCGATGGATGCTGACTCAGTGATCTAGAAGTTAAGTGTTCGTGCGAGACCGGAGGTGCTGTACTCGATTCTCGTGCGCGTGATCGTGAGTACTCAATGATAGGGAATCTAATGCTTGGACGAAGCGAGCGTTCAATGTTTTCAGGTTTTTGATGGCGATTTAACATTGGTTGGTTCATGATTTTAATAAGAAAAGACCTTTTATCTCTCTCTATTAAACTCAACTTCGAACCCTGAATTGATTATCTATCTTACATACCACTGTCATTCTCCTTCAAACTTTCAAGTGATCACATAAATATGATCGTATTCAGGCAATCCTGACATCTACGCCTCATAATCCTAAAAGAGTAGCACAGTACTCATGCCTTAACCGTATATTTGTTTTCTAAATGGCTGTTTGATGTACCATTAAGGCCAAATGTATAACTATAGCTTGTCAATTTTAAAGACTCACATTATCCCTTGGAATACAAACTTGCTACTTCCAAGTCATCAAGTCACTGTTACGATGCGGTTGTCCAAAATCACAAAAGTCAATAATAAATAGGGTGAAGTAAATTTTCATCTCATAATCATACAAACTTCCGACTCCATAGTATATTTGTTAACAATTGATACCTAAAGTTACATGACTTCCATTGAGTGTACACTTTAAAGTTCCTATCTCTTTTTTGTCGTTGGTTAAAATTGGTAAACATTTTTCGTCCATGGTCACTCTAATCATCTGTTATTATTCATTAATTTTTTTTACTTCGCACTATCTAATTATATGCATGGTTGGGATATACACGTACAGATCGGTGTTGGTCTTGTCTTGGGAACATTCCTATGTGCGCCAATTATGTTTATTTTTGCACGTATTATTACATTGTACAACGCAGAACCAAGTGATTATGCAGGTATACTCGGTACAACTGTTGAAGATATTTCTTGGATTAGTATTGTATGCTGTGTAAGTTTACTAATCAGTTTTGTTTGTATGTTGTCAAAATGGTATTTTACCAATTTTTTTATTTGCAATATTAAGATATACGCCAACTATTTACAAAAACCGATCTACTTCACGAAAAAGATCACATGTCATTCAGGAAATGCGCAGTGATTTTATTATTACCCATTTCAATAGACATTGAATGATAGTCAATCAGTCATACACAACCTAAATATTACCAATGAGAAATGCAGAGCCTAGGAAATTGTTTGTTCAGCATATTTTGTAGGTTTAGGTGAACTGTTCTCAGCGTTCTTCATGAATCGACTGAAGTTATTCGTTCCGTTTTCAGTCTTCAATATACGTGTTGTATCCAGAACCACTTTTACATGGATGAGTGCCGGATATTAGAGTATAATCATCAGTATAAGTCCTTTTTTATGCCCTAACTTTCACCACACTTATGTTTTTCATCCGGAATGTTTGATTGTGCTACACTGACATTTTTATAGCTGACAGTTAAAGACAACTTCACCCTGTTGAAGTGAATACTTTAAGGTAAATCGCACTTCAATATCCGCCACTAGCCCACTAAATAAACAACAAAATGACTGAAATTGTCAGAAACAACACACACCTTAAGGGTTGAAAACGGTGGGAATAATTTGAGTTTAAACGTTTTCTATATTTATTTGTATAAACTAAATTATTGTATTTGTTTGTTTTTTAAAGTAAAAACCTCTAACTTGCTTTGACTGTTCATTTTAAAACTAATAGATTTGGACATTGGGTGTACTTTGTGTTAGTCGAAAAGCTATTCGAGTTCCTAATCGATTCACATTATGTCATTTAATTTGTGTGCTATTCACTTGTACTGGATTATTACTTGGTCGTTTCGTAAATTATTATTATTATGGTATTGAAGAAAGTGTAAATGGTTTGTTATAAAAATTATTAAATTTTGGAAAATCGTGTTATTGTTTATTGAACATTGACTAGAATATATAACATGTGATACTCATACTTGTAATCGGCTAACTTATAAGCTAGTTGTAGGCATTCGTTGAAATCGAGCTCTGTTTTATCCAGGTGGCACTTGTCATATAGATATACCTGGAATCTTGAAAGATCTTATGCTACCCATAGGAACTGAACTAGCATCACTCAGTATCACGTTTAGTGACATGATGTGATCAAGAAGTTATTTATATCCTAACCGACCTATAAGACTGAGATATTTGCAGCACTTAGTTGCGAAGTAGTCTCTTAATCTCATGTTTGTGCAGAATTCAGTCACCTCTGGGGATTAGATAAACATGATATGACCAGCTAGTGTGAATTGTGTTTTGTCAAAAAATATGAGTATATGCTCGTCTCGTTATTGTTGTGAACCTGAATGGACTAAGTTGGTTCAGGTGTATTATGGATATATCGAAAACCATTGTATTGTGGTGTGTGCTACTTATATTGACATAAGTAGTATGTGATGTTAGTCGTGAACAGGTCTGGCAGTAGAGAGACAAGAGGATCGAACAGTAAAGAATGGAAACAGAATGCAATTTGTATGAAAATGTAAGAACAATGAAGTCTGAGTCATTTTGAGACAATCGATGGACATTTTGCAAATTAAGTATTTACTTTATGATTGTTAGATTTTATTAACAAGTCCTGTAATTTTGTGTTAAATACATCCGTGTCTTGTTCACTACAGTATGTGTTACATATAAAGCTTAGGTTCTTGCTATACCGCGTACTACCTGGGCACTCGAACGCTAGAACCCTCCAAGTCTCAAATGAGATGAATGGGAAGTAGCGTTATTCCAACAGTGTCAAATATGGTGCAGAACTCTCAGGTATTTATATTTTTTAGTAAAAGCGAAATCATCATTATAATCATCCAGCCCTCACACAGTGGTTTTTAGCTTCTATCCAATAGAGAAGCTACACGTCTAGTTTCTGGAGTGTTCTTCCAAAAGATGATTGGATGGAATGTATTCGGCTCTTTCTGAGCTACCTTAAGTTCACCTGTGGGCTGTGCTCACAGAATTCTGTCTCACTGCAGAATTCAAATACTCACTTTCAGATCTGAAAGTCCTGTGCGTACTTCTGAGGAGTGCCATAGCGGAACGAAACATTCTCCTGATGCTTTCTGGTTTTCAGTGGATTTTTCACCAAGATCCTTGATGTGAAGCATGTTGTAGAGTAATACTCTGAATCATGGCTGAACGGAACAAAGTTCATTGTGGCCAAGTCAAGATTCGGTATGGCTTTACTTTCATCTATAAATGTTGGTCGGTTGCGTTTTGACAAACATTGTTAGATTTCTTGATCAATTTCTTAAATGATTGAAAGCTAAGGAATATATTAGCTCATATCAATCACTGTGGCTTATTGAGTCAAGCATCAGACTTCCAAACAGTAAGTTTCAGGTCGGAACTTCACTTTACATATTTCGATTTGGATGGCCGTCTAAAACCAGTAGCCCTCATTTAAAAGTAAATACGTGAGATTTCGTATGTCATAGATGAATTGTATTAATGCATTGACTATTGTAGTCTTACATAAAACGATTCACATGCCTCAGAATATTAGTTGTAATATATATTCTTGATTATACCCTTTTTATGCATTATTTGTATATTACAAATTGATTATTCCCTACCATCTTCCTATTTATTGAGTTTTTCTGTAACTTCCTCATTGTTTTACTTAAAATTAGGTGGAAAATTGAGTCAACCAATACGCTGGTTAAATTACTTGCATTTTGCAATATTCTTTTTTGGTTCTACGGGTACACGTTGTTGGACCACATTAATCGCATTAGTTCTTGTTATGGAACGTGCACGTAGTCTATGCTTTGTATTACGATATCAATTGCATATTTACTTAACTGGCTTCTTGTAAGTTTCTTTCCTTTTAATTTTGTTTTGGTTAATAGTTCGTGTGGTCATTATCAAATATACCTTGATTTTAATAATCCGAATATTAAGAAATCAAGATTTCTGTACGTGTATAGTGAAAGTTGGGATGAACAAAGTTTGTTTATGTTTGCTTTCTATGACATTCGATCAGATTAATTAGAATAATTTTAAAGTCATGAAGAACACTACATGGATTGTTTTATCATATAATTGTTTTCTGAGGTCATTTCCATTCATCCATGAGTGTGTACACAGTATCGATTTCAAAATCTTCGAACGCCGATCCAAAATCACGTTATTTCATCCAGTTTTTATTTTCGAAACTTATGTTTTCTCATTGTTACTGTACCTAGTCATTTTATAGATTGGACTTTCATTGAACCCTAAATAGAGTCCAATGACTTTTTATCCGGAGTTACAGTCAATTTTCGGCTTTCCTGATAGAATCTTCCTTGTCCGTAATCACTGTAGTGCATCCTTTGTCCTCGGGGACTATGACAATATCATCTCTAGTTCTGAGTTTCTTTAAGGCTTTTTGTTCTTGTGAAGTTAGTTGGGTGTTGTCTTTTTTCCATCGAGTTAGCGGTACTATGGTTTATCTTATTTCCTGTTGAGTTTCTTCACTTATTCCGACAGATCGTGGATGCGCACCGCTGAAGAGTCCCACAATAGGACGAAACGGCCGTCCAGTGCTTCCAGGCTGTCTATGGTGATCTAGCTTCGATTGACTCATGATCTCAACCATTGAAATTTTTTAAATTTTTTTATTGGACCAACTACAGATATTGTCAGTAGTTCAGTAGTTCACTAACTTACATCTGAATACATTCCTACATAGATAGATTGTTATGTCATATAGGATTTTACCGATTTGTTTGCATTCTCAATTCACATTGTATGAAATGATCTTTATTTTTTGTCTAATTTCTCTTTCTGCCCTTTTTTTCATAAACCCATCCGTTTTAAATACTGGCGTAACTGTCTGCATATGTTTTTTTTCCTACAGATTGTGTAAATAATTCAGTGATTTATTCACTTTTTTTCAATGAACCATGTAAATTTATTAAATTTGCACTTTTTATCTAATTTAAGTGTTTCATGATCAATTGAATAACTGATTGATTGATTGGTTGGTTGGTTGGTTGTCTAAGCCCACAGTGTTGCACCTATATACTCCTATTCACAAATACCACTACCCGACTACTAGACATCACTTTTTGTTTAATACACTACTTTCTATCTAATCTCTATGTGAATTATACTGTTTTACCTTAAATTAAATAAAACATTTTTTTTGTAAGGAATATATCAGTGTATTCAGAGATATTTGTAACAATGAATGTGAACTTTTGTGAAGTTTTTGTGTAAACATATAAATTATGAAATGATTTTCTCAAATATAAATCATGGTCATTCTTAATAATAAATAATAATTAGCGAAAATTAGATTATATTAAATTAATTTAATAGTTGGATTCATCAGTCCATTGAAACTAGACCACTAGAGAAACTCTGAAAGCACTAGATGGCCGTTTCATCCTAGTATGGGACTCTTCAGTAGTGCGCACTCATGAAACGGCCGTCCAGTACTTTCAGGTTTGCCATGGTGGTCTAGATTCAATGAACTCATGAACTCAACTATTAAATTACTATAGTATCCACAAAACCCGTCTCTGATTATATTAAATTAGTTGGTTAGTTAGTCAGTTAATTAGTATATAGCATAATTGAATTCAAGTTGTAAGTGAATCATATCTAGTTCATACGTTATGAAAAACCTGAATATTTACGGTTTTATGTTGATAATAGATGTAGAACTGAGTATAGTTGACGATCAATATTCTTATAGAATAATCCAGCATTTGTTCAGTAAATCAATTAGTTATAAACAATGTTGAATGTGATATAGAATAGAAGGAATGTGTCAGCTAGTAGTGAAATCTAAGATGCACGTTTCGTCCTATTTCGAACTCGTCTTTAGCTGGATATACTTGCATCCTAAAATTGATGTTCATTCCAGAAATCCAACTCAGTGTTTGAATAAATAAAAGTATCCTCACATAATAAATGTATGGATATGGAGAATCCTGATTCCAAACCAATGATGTATATGGACTCCAAGATCCTAAGAAAACAAATGGCATATGAATCTATTGTTGCTCACTGGCTACCATGGAACTGCATCTGCTGACGTTGTCCCACTGCTTTTTGGATTAGACCTTAAAGTCAAATGCTCGAGGTGTGATCTGGCGCACCCGTGCAGTATCCCCCAACCCTCCCATATATATATATATATATATATATATATATATATATATATATATATATATATATATATATATATATATATATATATATATATATATATATATATAGCTTAAAACCCTTCATTTATTATCTACTAAATTAACTTTTCAGTAGTTTTATCAATAGTGTTTCTTTAACTGTTATCATTGATTGAAAATAACAAACTAATATGAACTATAATAATCGATTAGAGCACAATGAATCAATCCTTAATATCGATTGATTATGAAGTAAATTTTTTTTGTTTTTTTTCTTCATATCAACAAATTAATTATCATTTATAAATGTATATTTGAAAATGAAACTTATTTATTGAATGTTCTTTACAATTAATCAAATACCCATATAACACAGTGTTTAAATTTTTCTATTTAATACTGATATAATCATCGATTTTATTAGAATAATGGAACTTCTTGATAAATTGATGTCATATTGTCTTGATCTATCTGCTTTTATAATCACTATCATTACAATCTACTCTTGTAGTAGTCAATATAACACAGAATAGACTCTGATTTCCATGATGGTTGATAGCCTTATCGATTGTTTAGTATTCTACATTTCAATGTTGTTGTAATGTACAAGAACATATAGGTGGAGACAACCAATGTATTTGGGTGAGAAATAACAGTTTCTTGATAGAATATAAAAATCATACATTGGCAGATATTCCATGAATTAGCACAACAATTACTATCTATTTGCGTTCTCTTCTATTCTATCTTTCAAACATTCTGCCGCCAGGCATTCCACTTCGGATTGCTGTTATATACTACTTATGTTGACAAACATTTTTTACTTATGATTCCCTTATTTACAATTACTCCTTTGAAGTCATCTATAAAGTAAGTCGATATTGATTAGAATATATTATAATACTGTGAAAATGATGATGTGAAGTTCAGCGATATTGTGAACAACAGTGAAGCTACGTTACAAATAGGAAATAATCGGAGAATGTAAATCGTTAAATGATTCCATTTCAACAATCTAAAAATAATGAGTCAGTAATCTTCGGTTCTATGTGTGGTAGAGTAGCTTTGAATGGGAACTACTGTTGAGGAATCCTTTATTCCTAATGAAACGGTCATGCAATTTTTCTTAGTTAGTAACATATAGTCACTAAGTTTCTTTAAACTTGATTCTCGTCTGATCAGTTCTTGTTTCGTTGAATGCATAGTGTTCAACTTTGCATGTTTCTTCTTAAAGATAAAGGTACATATTATCCAATCGATCTAATTTCTTAGATGAAACTCATCTTTGTATAAATTGTATTGAAGTTGTCTATGAATTTACTTACTTATAGTTAACTAGTTATTCATTAAATGAAACAGTAATTGGTTGGAAATTTTGACTGAAAAGTAATGTTCATTTTGTCTGATCACGTCTTTTGAGAATCATACTTAAAAGTGGATCAAGATTAGAATGCTACATTCTTAGCTGTGAGATGACTTTGTAAGCACGTAACAACGAGCATCATTCTAATGTTTGACATACCTGACAGCACAATATATCTTCAAACTTGAAGGAGAATAATACTCTTTGTGTAATCCAAACAAAGCATTACCACCAGGTTGAATTGAATAGAGTTTTGTCTACACTTAGGGATAACAACTACACCCAGATAATTTTTAAAGAGGATTATTAGAAATGAAAAAAAACTAAACTAGAATGTATATCGAAAGATTGGAAGTCTACCGTGGTCATCCCACACCCCAGTGAAACATCGGAAGAAATCAAGAGGATTCTAAACAAGCATGATATAAGAGTGTATCTTCGGAATTGTGACACCATAGGATCAGCATTAGTGAAAGTTAAGGATAGGTTCTCAGAGGAAGAACGACAGAATATTGTTTATGAGATCAGCTGCCATGATTGTAATGAAGCTTACGTGGGAGAAACTTCTAGACAACTGAAGGTGAAATTGAAGGAAGACAAACAATGTTTGAAAAATATCCTCAAATCCTCGGTTGATTTAAAGAAACTTGAGAATAAGTCGGCGATAGCGTTACATGCGTTGGGAACAGGACCCAAGATTAATTTTAAAGGGACCAAAATACTTCAGAAAGGTTTTAACACCCATAAAGAAAGATCGACAGCAGAAGTGCTGTATATATGGGCGAATAAGAACAGTCTGAACCGAAAGGATTGTATTCAACTAGCGACTACTTGGCAAATGTTCGTAAACAAGTAATTGGACCCATTCTTTATGCAACCTGTTTATTTCACATGCACCGTTATTCTGACTGAAATTAATGTTGGTTATTTTTAGCAATACGATTATGTGCTTTATCAGAAGTGGTTTTTGTGAAGGTTTTAGCAATTTAATAGTTGAATTCATTAGTCGATTAAAGCTATCGATATCTGATAACTTTCATTTTACATGCACATCAATGATTCAGAAACAATTTTTCAACCTTCACCTTGCACTTTTATTTTGTTATTTTGCCTTCATATAAAACATATTAACACGTAATCTCAACTATTAATTACACATACATACACACTCAACTTGTTAGGTCATTTATTTTCACATCGTGAACTTTCCACGTGACTTATGTTATTCTGTTTACTGAGATCAACATCCAAACATGATTGGCTTAGCACAGTATAGATTTGATTTGATTGTTAAGCACTGGATCTTTGATGATTTTGATTATTACCCTGAAGAAGTCCAGACAAGTTTTTTGGACGAAATGTTGGAATTCTTCTAGATTTCAATCACTGAGTTTATTTCAAATATAGTTGTCACATATATAATGACTTCTGTACTCTAGCCGACCAATTTTTGTCAAATTATTCGTTCTTATATTGATGAATATCCGTAATAATCAAATTCTGTCGATCTTGTTGAAATGAGACATGGGTGTTTGTATTCTATAAATGTAAGTCGAATACTCAATCGTTACATATAGATCTTTAGTTTAAGAATTGTCTTTTTTGAATGATATCTTACCTCAATTAAAAAATATATATACCAAATTACTATTTCTATATGTATCTTTTTCATTTTCATAGTCTCATTTATATCGAATCATTTGAATAACTTCTATCTTTTCAATCATTATTTGCTTGCCTTCTGCTTTCTTGTGTTCTGAGCATAAATTCTATCTATCTTACAGTATACGTTAAAAAATTCAGTTTGATTAGTTACTGATTATTGAAGACCTCAGTCATATATCTTGATCCAATTTCTGTGCATCTAATTTCATGCTGTTACGATTTGGTCGTAAACTTATTTTGCGCTTACTCTCGAATTTACAGTTATTCGATGTGTGAAGATTATTGTATTGATTAATCTTGATTTGTAGAACACCTGCAGTTGTCACTGGCCTACTACTGTTAACATCATTTGGTCATATGGTGAAAGATATCGATCCGATTTTTCAATGTGGTACTAATCAAGTAAGTGGAATGTTTTTCGATAATTGTTTCTCTAACTCGCTCATAGTAATAGCTAGTTAAGTATCGATTACGATTATAGATGGTTGGAAAAAATCAGTAGGGGACTCCTAAATCTGATTTTCATGCTAATTAATGCTTATTGACTTGAAATCATTATGAGAATTTTGAATAAGTTCGGAGGAAGGCTTGTGAAAATATACTTCATTTAATAAACTATTCAAACGATCAATCTTTTCGATCTACTCTAACCCTAATAAATCCAAATCATGTCGATTATTCAGATGTCAAACGCCATCGGATTTGTGTTTTATGAATTGCACCACGCATTTGACTTCTGCTAGCTTCACTATATCTCCTGAGGCATTTCGGGAAAATGTTCGATTGGTTGAATGCATGGATACCTTAGCTTACAGCACATATTTTTTTGGAAATCAATGTAATATCGGGAACCGTATCTAATTGAAGACAACTAGGTTTTCCACTCACTAATAAGCTTACATACTTCCGTTTACTTTGAAATTCAACTTTAAAACTCAAAAGTACTCTTGATTGGACTCTGTGAACGTCGCTTCACATTTACGCTACGATATTTTGACTGGCGTTTATTTTGATGAACATTGACCTTCTTTATGACCAATGCGATGAAAATTGCGGCACTTGTAATTTCTAAACGGTCACAATTTGACAAAATCCTGTACTCAACAAAACCAACATGGTGATGGTTTGCCAGCAGGTTGTTGTGCGCTTGCTGTGTTTTGTTTAGAAGGCTTTGAGGATTGGATTGGATTCACTAATTTGAAATCTGAAAGTTGCACCATCGCGGTATCATGTTTGAGATGTGACAGACGTTGACGTTCGACTGTGACCATTTGTAAAGTCATGTTACGTTCCTGCTCAATGCTCATTAAAATTATGGTGCGGACATCAACAACTTCTGGATTCTTTAATCCGCAGATAAAAATCAAACATTTAAATTGACCTGATGTAATTTCATACTCTCGATTTACTTTTCCAACTTAAGTGATATAATAATCCGATCGAGATTTTAATATTTTAAAGCATTGATAGCTAATGTTAGATAATGAGGACTGTATCATTAAAAGATAAATTTTGAGGATTTTGTGTCAAGATGAATTTTCGAATCTTTTAATGGCCACTGTAATACGTCTCGATCATTCTGTGTCTTAATCACTATAGTTTACACCTAGTAACCCCAGTCAATTCATGACACATAACGCGCATTAGTATTATTTATTCGTTGTAAACTAATGCTAAACACTCATTTCAGTAGTATTGTAACTAACACATAAATCTATGGTCAAAACAAATGGCATCGTTTATGAGATCATGTTTGCAATTTTTTATTCTCTTTTTTCAATTACCATTGAAATTGAGACCTTAACACGGTGTTTTGTTTTCTTGTTTGAATAAAAAATCAGCTGATTATATCAATCTTAGTTTTGATAGTTAATGCATCTGGTACTTTAGCCTGTTTAATCAGTTTTATACGAATCGATGTTCCTGTGCAAGATTGTTATGAGATTAAAGCATCACCAGATGTAAGTTATCGTATATGATTATTATTATTATTATTATTATTATTATTATTATTATTATTATTATTATTATTATTATTATTATTGTCACTAATACTAGGTGATTAGAGACAGTTTTACCTAGGGGTCATGATAGTTGGCCGTTTTCAGGAAGATGTACCCTACAGTCTTGAAGAAACTGGTGCTCCGTGTGAAATTCGACTTGGTATTAGTGACTTTGTTGTTTGACGTTCTCTCGCTTGTATTTTTCTACTTACTACGGACATTTTTATCAATGTTTATTTACTATCTCCTACTTCATGGTTATGAAACTTCATTACCTTTGAAAGTGGAGGTCATACATAAAGGTGACTAGTGTTTGATTTTAAATATCTCCGACACACAATTCATGCATGTTGATGAAACCAACAAGTAAGCATTGCTAGAGTAAACCGTATGGTACTAGGTAAAGTTTGAAAATCGATTGATGAGACGATGAATTTCTGTAATTCGAGGCGGATGGGGCATGTTTAACAACTTATACCACAAACGCCGACTCCCTTGACACGAATTGTTGGTTGTGGTATACGTAGATTGATAAATAATTGAGAGCGACTAAACGAGGCATGATGTTATTGATTGTTAGTTTGAATTGTATTGGAAGGTGAAAATGTTCTTGCTTGAAACACATGTAATCAGTGTTTGCAGACTACAGACAGCAACATAGTTCAGAACCGGTCTCATCTATGTAAATTTACTCATTTTCGAGTTATTATGTAATTTCATGCTACTTATCCCCCTGTTAAATTCCTTTTCAAATTATATATATATATATATATATATATATATATATATATATATATATATATATATATATATATATATATATATAACATTTTCTTTGTTGTTGATAATGTTGAACGCTTAACACTTTTATCCATCTAGTCAGCGATTAGCGCAAATATCTTAATCTCGACCTGAATGACATAGCAGTAATGTGGTGTGTGCTACTTATGTAGACAGATATAAGTAGTATATATCGAGAATTGGAAGTAGGATTCTTACTGACAAGCGGAACATGAGGGGAAAAGAAATGAAAGCAGAAAAAGTTCGACTAGCAACAGGAATAAAAGAATGATGGAACGTGTAAGCAATAATTCAAGGAAGATGTGTAAATGGTGTATTCAATGTAATGTTTTCATATTTTACAAACACAATGTGATATTGCTTAATACAATAAATTGGTTTACTCTCACTAAATCTCCGTTCATTACAGTAACACCTTTGACTATGACATTGAGCGATGTGGGTTTGAATTACATACAAAGCATCGGTTCACTTAATATTTTAAGTGCACCTTACTGACGAGAGCTGACTAGTCCAGAATATAAGTCAAGTAGGGCTTTCTTCGCGTGGCGTCTAACAACCAGTTAACATGAAATAAAGTGCACCACAATCTTGAGTCACCTAATTTAGTGTTAACATTGTAACTTTATCAACAGAATTCAATCAGTATTACAGGACTAGTCAATCATGGCATTGATAACCATCCAATGGCCAATCAGTGTATTTTCAGCTCACCGCATCCGTTAGTAGAGCTTTCAATTCATTATAATTCTATGAACAAGCTCGATCATTTTCGTCAGTTCTAGTCAATTTTCATTAGTTCACATTTTTTATAGGTAGCAGAAGGAATATGTCGTTCACAACTTTGTCGAAATTTTAACGATTTTGACAAAAATGATACCAATCAAACACAACAGTCTCAACAAACTTCTCCAAGTAATTCAATCATTACAGACAGTTATCGAATCACTAGAAACAGTGATGATTCCGAGTTACTAAGTTGTAGAAATCCACAAATTCCACAGTCATGTGATTCTGCGAAATTCTGTAATCAATGTGATAAGAAACAACGAAAAGAATGTGCCAAGTAAGTTGTATTGCAGAATACTTCCTGATTTAATGAAATGTGTAGAGAAAGTTTCCTGTCTTTTTCATTTTTATGTCGTCTTTTCTATCCTAAAATATGTCATTAACTAAGTTCAGTCTAACTCCAATTTTTATAACTCCCTGTCTGAATTTCGCACATATTTTTAAACATATCCAGTTGTGTAATCAGATTACTTATTTAAACACAAAAACATTGGTACAAAAGTACACCGAAATATATATAGGCAACACAGAAGTTGTGTTAGGGCTGGGATATTGACCGGGCGACCAAACTGAAGCAGGTGGTTTTCGTAGGGAGCCGGTCATTGGGTCTTTGACCTAGACATCTGAACCACAAGGCAATAGAGCAACGTTAGGAAATGGAGTCTCATGGTAGCCGGTGACCAACAATAAATTCATACGTCAATTGTTTTCTCATGATCATGGAGCTCATCTGCACCAATGGTTTGTGTTATGACTTGTGGTCTGTTAACTAACACGACTTATACAATCTTAGTGCTGTGTTAAACCAATGAGGCGTTGACCCGTACGAGCAGCTTGTAGTCCTTATTGGTCTTTCTCATCTAGCCATATCTGTTAAATCCAGAACACCAATATCAGCTTCCATTGTATGAATCATGTATTTCAGACACAAGTAGCTTATATACAAACAAACCAGACTGCCTCACACCACAAAATAGGAAATAACAATTATACTTAATCAAGCTAAAAGTATCTATGATTGTCAGAGACTGCAACTAATAAATTAGTAATAACTTAAGAACCGTAAGTCGTAAAATAAGTAGTCAATAAGTCAAATTGAAGTTAATAATAAAATGAATATGAATATGGGGTTTTAGCGTTTTTTTAGCGAGTTAGTTTTCTACGGGATGGGGACGCTAACCCCATGCCCAACCCCCCTCCTTTATCCGGGCTTGGGACCGGCAGTAGCCCCCGGAGGGACTCCAGGCGGAGTTTATATATATATATATATATATATATATATATATATATATAACCACTAGGCCACTGAGCCGGCATCCAACGGTGTTAATGTCTAACTTCAACTAATCCACGAAATTGAGCGACACATCCACCATTGTCTTCAGTGAGTTACTATCTCACAACAAACCTGGTTGAACTCCACTGGTCACTACTTCTCACTAGAACTCCAGGATATACCTCGTGAAGCCAGTCACTAGTGAACATATGTTGGTTAATATCAGATGGGTTTTGTGGAGATTGTAGTAATTTCAATGGTTAAGATCATGATCTTAACCATTGAGATATATATATGAATTAAGTTGAATTGATAGGACCCAGTGTAAATAATTATACTTTGTTCAGTTATTGATTATTGAATCGAATAAAACATCATTATAATAATGAACTTTCATAATTATTTCTACATTAAACACTAAAATTGTCATCGTTAAAAACAGCCATGTGGATTTATTTATCATAATTAGAGAAGTTTTTGACAACCTTTCGCTAACACAATACACTAAATACTGATAAGTATTTACTTATTTACGTATGTTTTTCGAGACAGTTCATGTTTATTTCTACCAAACTTCAATTTTATAGTGGACAAATGGATTAACTTGACTTTGATCATGAATCAAATGATCACTGTAGTGTTATATAGAAATGACCTTTGTAACGTCACATACTGTAATTTAGACACATTTAAGTAAATCTACCATGAATACCACGTGCAAATTAGATAGACCTTCACAAAAACCCCAAATTAAAAATGTTATGTCCCGATGAGAATAATGAATGATAACTTTTGAGATACGTTTATGAACCGATACTATGCGTATATTTTTATCGTCTAATTATTAAGTTACTAGACTGTTCATACTCATGTCTCTCTTATTATAAGCTTTAATTTGACCCATAGACTGTTACTATACGATTTACCATTCTTGAGTTATGGCCTGTCTATTAATTGCTACCTCCCTCATTCACAGTCATATTTGGCTGATTCTTGTACAAATGTTGTTTCATATTTTACTGGTACGACGTGGTCTGTCTTATTGGTATATAAACCGAGTATGTTTAAAATAAATGATTCATATCGCAGAGACTGAGATTTGTGTTCTGGACTTAACTGACTGGGCTAGGCGGAAAGCAGGACCAATAAGGACTGTAGACTGCTCGTACGTGTTTTATGCGTCACTGGTTCGATCGATAATTCACTGCTCTCTAATTTGCGGTATCGTTACTTTATACATTAACAGGGCTCAGTCGGCCACAAATTATAAAAAAACTGCAGTTCTGAGCTCTCTAATGATTTACTTTGAGATGAATTTTTTGAAGTTGTACTGGGTGAACCACCTGGATAATCATCACGACATATCGCAAATTGATTAAAGTTTGAAAAGCATACCATTGAATGCCAATTCAGTGATCAAATGGTTAGGTACTGATACCACGACCTTGAAATCCTGAACTTGATCTTTAGTGGGGTCTTCGGGGTATATTGCTAAGGAGTCCCATACTAGAATGAAACAGTTGTGCAATGCCTCTTGATTTTCAGCGGCACCCCAACTGAGATCAGTTTGTGACATATATCACCTATAAATTATATGAATCTCTACAGAAGTCCCAAATTAAGCACATTTTACATCAATTAGCATTCGTAAAATAAAAAAAGCATTTATATCTGGACATAATTGGACTATTGTATAATCGAGAATAATGTTTTTCCCTATCATATTATATATCTTTGATAATTTCTATAATATTCTCTTCAAGATCAAATCAGACCTCCCTATGAAACATTGGAACTAGCAACTGATTTCAATCGTTGAGTTTTTTTTGTTTCATGTCTTATATATGGCGTTTGAATTTTGTGCAAGTTTTAGTAAATGATTACTTATAAAAAATTTATCGTCTCAAGATCACAGATACACTTTGATTAGTGATTTCAAAAAATCTGAATTCACCGATCTCTTGTCTGCTTTCAACATCAAATGAAATTCACCGTAATATGTGGTGATTTACATACTAGCATGCACATGACAATGTGTTAGATGTTTAAAGATAGTTAACAGGAAACCTTGAACCCAAGTTTGATATTAGTCGATACCCATCAGGAAGGTATACCTGAAGTAATAAAGAAACTGATGCTCGGTTCACAGTTCTAACAATTGCCGCCTAGTTTCTTAGCCTGAGACGTTACCAGTGAACTATTTGGGCGATTACTGACTTCTAAATATTCTTACTGAACGCTTGATTCGGTTTCCTAATCTCTTCTAGTAACTCTAGGCGAGATACATAAATTGGTTGATCACTGACTCGTAAACAGTGTCATGTTTGTATAGTTCCAACTAACATGAAACCGATGTCCAGGACTTGCTGTTGACTATCTTCGTCTGTCTAACACCTCGACATGGTGCACTCGATGTTGAGCCATGTAGACTGAAAAAAATTTGAATAGCGCCAAAGGACTAGACAAACATAAAATCAAAAGTCCCAGAAGTGAGGTACAGCTTCTTCTTCACCTAGTAACTACTATTTCCAATACTAATGTAAATAATACTGATATTTTTTTATGCTTTTAGTTAGTAAAGTAAAAGAAAACTTACAAATTGGTAACATTTGTTATGTACAACATTAATCGAAACTATTGACCTATGTAATGCTGTAAGAGAAACATAATCGTACATATTTCTCATCTCCGTGCAAGAATTATGACTGATGGGTATCGCAAAATAGACTTACATATATACCCAACCAGTTTTATCTAGAAAATTTGTTAAAGTGTAGTTCGTTGAACTAGTTCAATTTGATGGATACATTAAACTATCGATCACCTGGTCAACGTATTTTATAATGCACTCACTACACAGAATCTAACTCAAGAACTAACTAATAAAAAAAAGTAAATCTTGTTGATCTCAATAGAGTCAATCTATAATAACGTAAGATTTTTCATTCATGATGCCTATGATTATTTAACTTAATAAACACTAGAGTTTATTATTTAAAACAGGCTTTCCTAACTACAGATAAAGAGATGTTTGTATTACTTGAAGTTGTTTTTTTCAGTGGTTGTATAAAATTACTGCTACTTAAGAGATAAGAACTAAACATCAACTCATTCACTCCATGAATTACGTAATAAAGAAGAAGAAAAAAACAACAACCATATCAATTCAAATCAGCATAGTTTTCAATATAATGCTAGAAAACGTGGGAGTTGACGACAAGCAATGAAAATCATTGTATACATGTTTGTATTAAAAAAGAATATGTTACAGGAAGTAGAATACAATTATACCGATCAAATAAATTCATATTTCTAATTGGCTTCCTGTTGTTGTTTGTTTTAGAGAATATTTTCTTTTTAGGAAGAAAAAAATGAAATTCAAAATTAATAATTGAATTCATGAGTCGATTTAAGTTAGACCATCATGGAAAGCCTGGAAGCAATCGACGGAGTCCTATACTATGAAGAAACGACCATCCAGTGCTTCCAGATTTTTCATGTGTTGGGATATTCAAAAAAAAATATCCTGTTACGTCTAATGCTATCCTTGAACATGAAATGGTGTCATTTTCCTATTGGTCAATATTCACGGTAGTCCTAACTGTATAAATATGCATTCTTATTCTTCTCCTGACCGCATAAACAATTTTCATCTACGGTTCGTCTTCTGATATATTGGAGATTGGGGAACAGTATTGAGGTCGTACTGGGATATCTGAAGTTGGTCAGTCGGTAGAAATTAGAGTAGCCACCTCGCGATCCACAATAATTTGGCGAGGGAGATTTAACAAACAAGTTGGTGACTAACTATGGATCCAGCCAAATTATAATAATTGTTCGAACAAAAGCTGAAGCTGATGGGGATGATTACTCAGGCGCACATATCTTCTCGAGTCCCAATTACACCGACAATCCCTCAATCAGTTGATGGTATTATCAGTACTATTTCAGAATTTATTTATGATCCTGATGCCAATATTACATTTGATACTTGAGTCAGGCGTTATGAAGACCTTTTCAAAGTTGACTTTGCTGTCCACAATACCACGGTGGCCTAACTTAAATCGACTCATGGATTTAACAATTGAATTACTACAATCTCTACAAACTCCCACCCCCATTTAACATTATTTGACATTTCTGTTTATTTTCATTTCTTTTCTATGGATAAACTTGAAAGGTACTGCATGTAGGAAATTGATAAGTTTGAATTATTATCATTTTTTTCTCTTTGTTTATTCATTATCTGTCTAGAATTCTTGCACGATATTGTGAAACACATCAACCTTCCATGATATCGTCAACATCAGCTACGCATCCAATAACTCAACAAATTTCTTTAGGACTTGAGTTGGATAATGTTCATGCCCAGGGAAACAATAAACCTCCACATCATAAACATGTGATATTCTTAATATTAATATTAGTTACAATGTTTCTTGTAAGTTTACTTTCATGTTATCAATGCATGTATGTGTGTATGTTTCAGTTGATTAACTACTGAGACAAACATAACCTAATCCAAAATTTAATGTTGTATATGTTTAACTTCAATTGATTTGTAGCATTGTGCGACCATCTCCTATTGTCTGCAGTGGGTAACTGTCGTGCACCTGACGTGGCTGAACTCCACTAGTTAAAACGTCTTTCTATAACTAGAATTCATGTAGAAGCTTGTTGCCAAGATCTACTACCCCTTACACTAATTAAGTATAACTCGTTAATTCATTATTATCGATCGTGATTAACACTAAGTGAGATTTCCTCATCCTTGTCTCTAACCACTTGAAGTGTATGTCTGTTTATATGTTAGAAGTGTAAGAACATTCAGTGATTCATTTTTTATAGCTTCACGGTTTGTATTAAAATCAAAACAGGTTTTCTAACTACAGGGTAACAAAATACAATCTGTTCAAAAAAATCGATCTGATTAAACGTTTTTTTACCATACAACTTACAATCTATTTACTGTTCTCTTTGACTTCCATTCATTGAAACAATCTTGTGTTAGAAATCTTATTTCAGTCACTTCATGAGTGATTGGTATATTCAGACCTCATTCAGTAAGCTTAATTCAACACCAGATACATTAACCCTTACCGAGTTGCAGTAAACATTTAGATTTTTTGAAGTGTTATAGCATTAAAAGTGAATTGAACAAAAACTACAGCATAGTTTTTTGAAAAAATAAACATCTAATCTTTAATATGCGGTTATAGAGATTGAAATCATCAACCGATCAATTTCCATAACCCCATACTGAAAATTATTATGTTCTGATTAGTGACTAGCTTTGAGAGAGTATTCTGAGAGTTCTAATGAGCAGCTGTGACCAGTGGGGTCCAACCGTGTCGAGCGTAAGACATTTATCCACTGAAGACAATGGAAGATAGTCACACAATATTGCAGACTAGTCGGAGTTAGACATTAACACCGATTAATGTCAGCTCAGTGATCTAAAAGTTAAGCGTTCGCGCGAGATCGGAGGCGCCGGATTCAATCCACCTACGAACTGCTGAGGAGCCTCATACTAGGACAAAACGGTCGTCCAGTACTTCCAGTTTTTCAATGTTCTAATGTTGATCGGATCATGATTTAAATCAAATTGCCTAATCTTCTTGAAATACTGATCGTTTTTTATGAAAAACTAAAGTTAAATGATATAGCAAAAAAATTACGGCGGTGTGTAACCACGTTTATTTGTCATTTTGAGCTTGATATCTGTTAGGGATGCAGAGGAATATATCAATAATTATTATGTTAAGTCTAATGGTGTCCTTGGACGTTAAATGGACATTTCCATTGGTCGATATTCATTTCACCTGTCAAATATTGTACAAATGTTGTTTTTCTATTTTATGGTACGATGTGGTCTGGTTGGTTGGTATATAAATAGAGTATGTCTAAAATATAATAATTCATATCTCAGAGGCCGTGACTTGTGTTCTGGGCTCAACTGGCTGAGCTAGACAGCGAAGCAGGGCCAATCGGAACTCTAGGTCGTTCTTGCGGGTTCAATGTGACACTAATCCGATCAATAAAACGCTGCTATCTAGATCTGCAGTCACCCGTTACAACAATGTCATTTCATCCATTGCTTACATATATTTGTTTTGAACTATAGTTCCTTACGTTGGTAATTCTCCACTGTGTTGGATATTAGTATTTTCTTTTCGTTTATTTTTTTACCTATTTTTACGTTCGTCTTCTGCAGCTGGTAGCTTAGATAAGATCAGATTTTCCCCAGATCCCTGTGTCTGGCTATATTTTCAAAATTATTGTTGTTAGACATTTATTCACATTTTTGTCGCTACACATATTTTTAAATGCATAATTAAGTTAAACAGTGAATATGAATGAAATATGATATTTAGGCTTGACAACATCTTCAACTGCGACATATATTACTTCAAAGCAAATGACCTTCATTTTAATTGGTACGAAATACCTAATTATTGAATGGTATGAATCTAAACAGTTTTGAGTTATATACGGTAGGTAACAGCAAAAGACTTGTATTTTGTTAGGAGTTCATTGAATCGTAAATTTCTCAGCTTCGTTCACAACTTTATTTTGTGAATCACATCAGCTTACTTATTCTTATCATCTCATTCAACGTTATTATCTCCTTATAATAGGTTTCGTCATTTTGAGCAGAAGAGATTCCACTATGTTCATTCTTATCTTTTTTCTTCTCTTTTTAGGGTATTTGTCTGTGTACTTGGAGGCTTGTACATGATGCTCCAACAGGTGTTTACATAGTTCTCGAATTTTTGGATGGTTCTTTTAATTTTGGTCAAGGTGTAGTTTTATTTGTATTATTTGGCCTAGATGCAGATTTGTTTATTGCACCGATAAAACGTTTGTAAGTATAAAACTGAATTTAAACACCTTACCGCTTTCTACTTACTTACTTACTTCCTGACCCTAAATCATGGATATAGTACTAGTTGTACTTGTTCTACATTTCTTCATATTTGAAATCTATAACGAAATGTTGTGGAGATTGTTGAATATACAGTTTCACACCACTGATTGATTTTAATTAGATAACCACCGAAAACTGGACAACTGTTTCATCCCGATCAGAGACTCCTTAGTGATGCTCACCCACAACCTTCCAGTTGTCCAGTGCTTTCTGGTGCTCAATGGTCGTTTGACCGAAGTTGATCTGTGATGTGACACTGTTTTTAAAAGTGTTGAGACTAAAAGTATGTGGCTGTTTGTATGACTTAATAGTCATATGAAGTGACATGTTGTATTATTCAGTGGTTGAAACTTTACTTAGTATAGCAGTTTTTAAGCTAAGAGTATCAATTGCAATCTCATGAATTTTGATTTCGTTATTTCGGGAAAATCTGTCTGGATCCCATTTGATCGATTATTATTTAAACTATCACCACATAGTCTGTCCCATGGAAATATACGCGGTTGCAAACGAATATCTAATTCTGTCAAACTGAGTTTTTCAAAAGACAGTTATAAGGAACTTATAAACTGCTACATACATGTATCTATTCAAATTACTACATCATATCATTAAAACCAGATGAAATTATCAATATCAGTGGTTATAAGAAATGGACAGTACGATCCAATAAGAAAGAACAAATTCACGGAATAAAAAGTGTGAGATAATTTTGAAACTAAAAATCTAAGAGAATATAAAAATTGGATATATCTACACCATTAAGGCCTTTCCTGAGTCAAGTCACCCAACGTATCCAATTAGTGGTTACCATAACCGCACCGACTCCGACCAAGTATTCTGCATCTATTAATACACTTTAGTTCAGTTGTTAACGTCTTTCATGTACTGATACCACTTCTCGGCTTGACCCCTCTAACTGTTTTATTATTGACATATCGATGAATTGATAACATTTGAGCAATTATCCTGAAGCTAGACATCATCAGATTGTTATCTAGTCCTCATTTGTTGCTCTTGTTTTTACCATTCTGGATTGAACCCACCATTCTTCACGTTTTATAATGAAAACAAAGTATTATTCAGCTATATTGACTCAGTATTCATTGGTTCATATTTTACCGCTTCAGTTAATTCATGGTTTAGAACTCTTCATATCAACTGTTCAACTTAATTGACATCAAAGATCACCGACTTCCTACTATTCTTTCTCTATATAATTCCTCATTTAAAAATGTGTTTGTTTTATTCTTTTTCAACTAAACAATTTGTAAATTCTTATTTCTTGGAGTCATTTTCTGTCTTTATGGTGAATAGTTTCTATGCTTTAAATTGAAATATCAATATCCAAGTCTTTTTCTAATCACTTATTAATGATGCCTAAGATTAATGATGTTTTTCTTAAAATTAAAAAAGAACTATTCTATCCATAAAATGTTTTTATTTACAATGTTACATAATATCGATATTGGGGTCATAGCATTTAATCCGACTAAATGATGTTGCTATGTTATTCGATACATTTTATTAGAACTATATGCTCTCTGTTAGATGATTTAGTCGTGAGGCTTTTACTATCTTTTAATACATTATCAGTATGAACTATAGATAATTAGTGTGAGTTAAGAACTTCTCTACAATTGACGAACAACTTGTTGTAATTCAAGAATCAGATCAGTTAAATTCAAGTCAAGTGTATGAATATCTATTTGGTAAATAAGTTATATAGATTCAATGGTATTAGTAAGATTGATTCAGTTCGATGGTGAATACTGATGGGCGGTCTATCCTCTTTCACGAGGGGTAACAGGTGTAAATAAGTAATTCGGTTGTTGTTGTTGTTGTTTGTTTGTTTTTTTCAAATAGTAACAAATGTGATTTGGACATCATAAGACAAAATCTGAACTGTTTTCTTTTTCATATTTCCGAGTACTTTCTTTTCCAATGACGATTTCTATCGAGTACATGTTTATGTTTTTTATTGCTTCTTTTTCATTTGTCGTTTATTTGACTATTACATTTATAAACAAAAAAACCACCTTAATCTATGAATATTCACAGTACAATCAAACGATGTATCATTTTTATGTAATACACTACTGATACTATCCACAAAAATTAAGCTAAACAATCAAATCTCAATTGATTGTAGAGTTAATCAATAATGCGATTTCGTAAACAGCTATCAATTGGAAACATCATATCATTGAATTCATCTATCGGTCTTCTTTCATTTTTAAAAGTTGGAAATTGGTTCATTAAGTCATCAAAATTATACGCCATAACACCGACATCTAACATCAACCCTATTCACTTTATAGTTCCGTTAATACAGTAGCATAACTTTCTATCGTGAACCTATACATAATTACCAAGTAATCGTAAGTTACTAAGCTGAATGCAAATCAATTGGATTCTATTTATAAATAATTGAATAGAATCATCTTACATGGTTTAACCAAAATGTTAATGAAGTACTCCGTTCTCTGTAGAATTAGCACTTGAGTGCTACTCGATGAAATGTTTGCTAATTGAAATTATAAAACAGTACACGTAGGCAACTTGAAGCCATGATCATCCTACCAATCAGTGTTTACTTTTATTTACTTATAATAATGAATCATAGTATATATACATGTATTCGTTCTTTTTTTTAACGTTCTCTCTCGCTCGCTCTCTTCCATTATATTCATTGCTTGTTGCCATATAAAGTTTATCACGTTGGTTTAGTCATTTCACCAGTAAACAATTCAATGGAAGTTTCAATGAAGCTTTGCATCAGACAACTGTTGATAAGAGTAAAATTGATAAAATAGTGAATCAGTTTGTGAAATTTCATCTAAAATCATGTTCAACAAATATTGGTACTGAGAAAACGTAAGTAAGACAAAAACTTTTTTTATGTAGTTTTTATGTTGTTACAACATTTTGATTATTATGATTATTATCAATGAGGTTGTCGACCCGGTCTACAATCCTCCTCGTTATCTGAGCTTTGAACCGGGAGTAACCCTAGAGGCGCTACAGGAGGAGTTAAAGAATGAATTACCACTATACATTTGGATTAAACAATGATAGTTGATCATTAGTGAGTTATTCATTCGGAATGTGAACTATGTTATATAGTTGCATTCGATTGACAAGAAACTATAAATCTATGCTTTGTTCTTGGTACACTTGTCAACAAACCATATGTACAATCTTGATGAAATTATTGCTCCTCATGTTATTTAAACCCACTTCACTTAACATTGAGCTATTTTGCTTACAATTAATCTCCTGTCGAACTGAAATATTTTTAATGATTGTTCATTGAGTTGAAACAACATCACATCAAAGTGTAGCGCACGTGGATTCAAGTCATATTGACTGGTAGTAACCACACCAAGGCTCTATCGACTAAAGTCAACTAACATACGACATTCAGTGATCAGTCATCATCCCCCATGTTTCCTAGATGAAATTCATTACTAATTTTGATACCCGGCCAAATCACTTGTACACAAAAGTTTCTTCTTTCCTCAATCTCCAATCTACCCAACAAATCCATTCTTGTATTTGTTGTGTCTTGTTATTAGGGTTCAGTACGGCCTACGATGCTACGGGTTTAGGAACGAAAACGATTGAGCTTCTCTAACGCTATAGGTTCTATTCGGAACTGACAACAGTCAAATATACTCCACGCATCAAACCTCGATGGCTAAGACAGGAAGAAGACGGAATTGCAGGTAACTTGATATATGTGATAGAACAAGCAACGCAACGAAATGGGTGCAAAAGTTGTTACTATACTAGCAGAATATGACCTTCGAGCATGTATCAATTTAGCGAACTAAATAAATATGACGACCAGTCAGAGGGCAAAGGTCGTGCGAAAAATCAAATTGGTAGAAAGTATGCGAGCAGTTATCGTTCCAGAAGAGATCTTAACCGTTCTAATAAAATCTGACTATTCTTGAGACCGCCTTAGCAGTATTTCACAACTTTTAATATCGATCCACTCACCATTTTCAGATTTTCTAGTTGGAAAGTTGTTTAAGTGAACTTACTTCTCATATCACTTTGGATATAATTGTCAAGTTAGAATAGAGGACATTCTTAAGTTACTAGTACTTGCTGAGATGTATCTCCCAAGAATTTGTCGTGCATTTTTGAACCACCGAGTGAGCAATACTAAGGTCATCAATAGGGCACTAACTAAGGATGGCAAGTCTTTTGATGAGGTGGTGAATCTTGATGAACTAAGGTAGTTGGTACATGTACTACTTACGATCAATGACCTACCATGAAGTCAATGTTGTCTGATGTATAGGAAGAAAGCTAGGCGTGACCAAACGAATACATAACACTAGCTCGTGAAATTATCGAAAGTTGTACTGGACTATTTCAACAGGCATGGTTCAGATCAGTGCAATTATCGAAAGCAATGGTTAGGGTTTTGGGGTGATATAAGTCAGAATCCTTCATAATGGCAAATGTAAATTTGCTCTTGGTTTTCCTTTATATACTGAATTCCGAAATCTCCTTTTACTTTGTTTCCTTCTTGCTATACCTAATCTTTTCCACTATTACTATTATCACTACTGTAAAATTAGTCTTGATAATTTTATCTCTCTGTGCTAATATGGTACAGCAATTCGGACCGATGCGCAAACATTCCATATGACTAATTAACTAACTTACTTCGAATATAAATTCTCCGTATTTTATAAGCTTGATTTCTCTACTATTGTTATTTATTTCTTTATTTAGAATTAATTCAATTCACTACGAACAAATATTTTATCAGTACACCCTGGAACAATGGTTAATTGCCGCCGGTATCACTGATTCCAATGAAGAGACATTATGTTATATAGAATGCCTTGAATTAGGTAATATTATAACGTGTATCAATCCTATGACAAATGAATCATTTATGCATAAAGATACAATGACTGCAATATCAAATACAAAACGCTTGTTAACATTCACTGCTTATGCTTGGGGTTTACATAATATAAGTTACTAAAGAAATTAATTATAATTCATAGCAGAAACTATAATAGTGTTATATTTTTTTCTTGCCTACATTATATATCTGTCACAAATAAACAATAGCTTTCATAGTTATCAGATCATTGACTGTTCTTGACCATTACTTACTTTAAACATGTTCAAGCTCACTTGTCTTTCGATGATCATGAGATGTGTTTTTATTTGCTTCTCATATTCTAATCCCGATGGGTTGACGACCAGGAGAGGAAGGAAAAGTAACATCTCTCAATATAACAACTTCATAGTCTAACAAAACAGTGATAGTTGTTTATTCCAACTTTTTTTCTTTTCAATATCATTCCAATGTTTGTGTATTTTCTTCCCTGATCATTGACAAACTGAGATTACCCATCTATTCTTGTCATGTTGAACTTTTGTGCTTTTTTTCCGTTTGTTTTAAAATTTGTTGTAGCTGTTGCCGCTTTTCTAGTCTACACTTTTTTGGTTGCATCTTTGTATGTATGTTTGTTGACTGCTGTCTGTTTTAACACTGATAATAATTGGTTAATTAAAACAATAATTGTTTAGTTTAACTAAGCTATCTATCTAATGAATTAGGAAATAGGCATATATATGACTGGTATATTTCATAGTTATTAATGTAATATGCTAATATGGCACAAAATACCTCTTAACAAAAAATGTCCATAACAACTATGTATTCCCCTCTTTAGCACTTAGCTTATATGGGACACTGAGGAAAGTTGTACAATATTCTGAGTCATTGTCACTTGATGATGATAGGCTGAAAAATATTGTGAGAAGTAACTTGACTTAAGTTTTCTGATGAGTGTCTCAACTCATGCTACTTCCAACATCAAATTATAAAATCTTTATGCCCATGTAAAAACTTCCACCTTCGCTTAAAAATCTTCGACGCATCACAAAATTCCGTATAGAATCAACAAAGTTACTGACATTTGAGAACAGAAAACACTGTCTTTGGTAATTTAGTCTACGGTCTAAATATCGTACGTCGCATAAAATTTATCGACTTTATCCAAGGTCTACAAAGCAAAATATGCGAGAATTTCTACTTAGTTTGTCACTGGGTAAAAAGAACACTCATGCGATGGTTTTTCGGAAAGCCCCGAGGATGTTCTCTATAATCTATCAGCATCGCGCGTTGTGGTGATCGATGTTCAGGCATACGTAACACGGTTCAACCATCTCAGTCGATGAAGATTCACAACATCATCAACTGATTTACCATCATTCCGGAATATCCTGGCATTGTTGCTGAGTGCTACCAAAAGACACTGCATTTTATCAGCGTCTTCACCAAACAGGACCATATCATCTGCGTATTCTAAGTCGATAAGTGGACCTCCTGGTAGGAGATCAATGGCCGAAAAATCAGTCGACGAAAATGTTATTTCTATGATGAAATTAAGCAAAGATGGAGAAAGTGGACAGCCTTGATGGACATCACTTGAGGTTGCAAAAGCAGATGACAGTTCGCCATAATCTCTGACTCGACTGGTAGTGTTGGAGTAGAGAGCCTTCAAAAGGTTTATGTACTTCTGAGGTACGTCTTTTAATGACAGACACTCCTACAGAATTTCGCGGTCTACCGAGTCACATGCTGTTTAAAGTCAGGGAAGACCACCATTGTTGGACGTCAATAAACATGCTTGTGTTCTAAGATCTGACGAATGGTGAATATGTGGTCGGTGCAGCCACGACTAGGTCTGAAGCCAGCCTGATTTTCTCGTGTTTCAGTTCACGAGTCCTTGTTAAGCACCTGATAATTATTAAGGCTAGTATTTTAGATGCTATGGTGGTCAAACCAATCCCTATATGGTTATCACAGGATGATTTTGACCCTTTCTTATATATTGGGACAATCAGTGATTGTGACCAGTCAGATGGGATTACGTCCAACTCTCAGATTTTAGCTAAAATATTAGTTAACCTAATCGCTTAAACTGGACCACCGTCCTTAAAGACCTCTGGAGCCAATCCATCTGGACCAGTTGTTTCAGATTAGCTACAGCTTTTTGAACTTCAACTAGAGTCGGGGGGACCTACTTCAATGTTCCATTCACTTCAAACGACGAAAATGCGTCCCTATCCTTCCAAGTTCTTACGGAGCCGAACAGCATATACGCGACTGTTAATGGGGACGCATTTCACTAGTGCTTATTCTGTCCTCGTACTTTGTGCTATGCCTACATCCGCCAGTCCACGAGAACTAGCCATCGGGTAGCTAGATAAACGAAGGGTGTATCTCGTCAGCTTCCCGTTTTGGCGAGGTGAAGTCAAGCGAATGACCACACTAAGATCCTGTGTTTCGGAGACACAGCATACATCAATGGTACGAAATTCTATGGTCTTAGTTAAGGAGACCAAAATTCATGTCCAGCCTGAACACCAGGAATAAAAGAACCATTATTTTCTGCCAAACATTAATTTGATCAGTCACTTGATACGAAACAACTATGCGAAATCCTACCTCTAATGACTCTCCAACACAAAAGAGAATAACTTCAAAATAACAAAAGTTGTATCAATTTAATCCGGTTATTCATTTACTCTGAAGAAGTGGCTTATGTTAAGTCATGAAACGTCAAAAATACAATTTTCTAATCACTGGGATACAACAACAAAATATATTGAATACTAGATTTCTATTCAATGCTCAATTTAATTGGAACCATCAAATACAACCTTGGTATTGATACCTACAAACAGAAATCAAAGTTTCAGTTTGATGAAAGGGATTTCGAATATCATACAAACGTTGATATCAAACTCAATATTCATTGTTTTTCAAATTGTTTGAACAAAATGAACCGATTTTTCAAATTAACCATCACTTTTGGTAAATAATGATTACTTGTTGAGTTATCGATTCAACAAAAATATTTGATGTCATCTAATAAGAGATTATTATTACGGAAAAATCATGAGAAGTGTGTAGAGATCGTTCAGTTTGCAGGTAGATTACACAACTGGCTAAAGTTAGTTGGACAATTATTGGAAAACAGAAGAACAGTCATTTCGTCCTAATGTGACCTCCTCAGCAGCGCCTAATGACGACAGTACGTGATATCGAAGGTACGATCCCCCGACGAGTGTATTACCTTAAGACCACTAAATTGACATATATTGGTTCATTCCAAAAGATTTATTCACCAGAGCAGAAAAAGTTATTAATATTTCATGAATTCAAACAGCCTATGTTATACTGTAGCCGCACCACTCAAAGTCACCGTTTGGTAACTCCCTCCATCACTCTCGAATCAATCGACACTATCTGATATGATTTCGCATTGGAACATAAAAAGTGGACGCATAGGATTGCATACTCTAAAGATAGTGTCAGATTATCCATTAATAAAAAGCTAAGGGATCTATTTATTACTGCATATTTTCATAACAACCACCAATTTACATTAGAACGTAACAATACAGAAACACATAATAGAAAAATGTTATATTTCCTTAGTAACCATAGTGGCTATGACGATGATTATTTTTTGAACGGTAATAACGGCATGAAAGTGAAAACGACAAACTAACAAACGGACAATAAAAATGCGTCGGGCAACAACAATAAATATAAAAAGATAGAAAATCCGAAAATGGTGGGAAACAGAGAAAATAAAACATTTTATAAACCCATATGCATTTGTGATTATTATTACTATCATTGTTTATCATGTAAGCAATGAAAAGAATTTCATGTACCTAACAAACAATGTTCATTCACAGGTGGAAACATAATAACAACAATAATATCGATATACAGTAAAGAAGAAATGAACGTTGCCACAAACTGGAGGAAACGATAAAAACATTCGACGGTGCATAACTGTTCGTATAAACGAAGAATACATTTTTTGTAAAAGTAAGATAAACCGTAATCCAATCTACAATAAAGAAAAGAGGATAACATACAATATATTTCAGTGAAATATTCATAGAAATTATTTTGGTTAGTATGATTAGTAAGATAGAAATGGTCGCTTGAAAGTAAAAAGCACGGCAAGGCGGACAAGTAGTGTTTTGAGAGCTCTCTGTACGATTCGGATCCGCATCTCCCGACTTCAAAGTCTGAGCAATACGAGCAGCAACTGACCTCTCGCTTAGGAAGATGTGAAATATTTATAATTGATTGGTTACTGTCTAGTGGTCAATGTCTTGTTAGTTAGCTGAGTTTTTTCCACCATGGGAATTCCTGTTCTTTTCTTTCTTGTCTTTCTACACTTGGCGACAAACTCATTTCGCAAACACTTTTCAACCAAGGTAATTTTTTTTGAATTTTTTTCTTTTGAGAATGGTTTCCGTGAATAACTGTATACCGTTCTAACTAGTCTGTCGAATTTCTTGTTTTAGATATGGTTTTAGCTTGTTAACTAAGTATATAGACTCATATATTTCTATAGAAGGTTTAAAATCTTACATGAATGTTCATAATGAAAAACTTAGGCGTAAATAACGCCTACAACATTTAATATTCAAGAAGAAAATGTTTAAACAATAGCACTGGTCATAAAAATGGTATAAACTAAAATAAAAATATATATGGTAGGTGAAGTGGAGTTAAAAGATCGAATCACTACGTAAAAATAATAAATTCAACTCATTCACGAGGTACTTAGGACATAATGATAATCACCGGTTGCTCAACCCGAAGTAGGTAGAGCGATGTTCGAATACGGAATTTAGTGGCTGCAAGTCGAACCTCTCAACCACTAAGCCACCACAAGTCCAACACTACTGTTAGCGCTCAAGAAAAAATAATTCACCCACAGAATTAAACTACTCATAAGAATAACGTGACGTCACTCAAATAATTAAGGTTCCAAAATTAATAGTCAGTGACTCACCTAATATTATTATTCAGCATGCACTCGAAGACGTCGTCCTTCAAATATTTTACCGTCAAAAGCATCTATTTAAAAAAGAATAGAACACATTCAAGAGAAAGTGGGACGTTGAATTCCTCTACTTCATTGTCGTTTATTCTACTGAGTGATTAATGTGCTGGCAATACCCACTAAAACATTCTTTTCATTTCCTCTTATGAATCATCACTCTATTACCAACCGGTGTGTTAATATTTTAGTACTTTTCCCTGTTATGTTTTCCAAGGTTAATAATAACAAACTATGCATAGAAATAATTAGTACAATACAAATGCATTTTGTAGAAACAGTAAAAGTCTTGGCCCGGAAGATTAGTCTTTATTTCCAGAACGACATCGATAGCAAAGTTGAAGAGTAATGGTGATATTGGGCAAAATTGTCTAACCCACTACTTGGATGGAACAATGGAGAGAGGTGGTTGTATGCCCTCACTCTGCCTGAAGTGTTCGCATATAGGACTTTTAAGATGTTAATAAACTTCTTAGGAACACACTTTTTCAACAGACAATCCCAGAAAACAGTCCTGTCTAACGAATCGAAGGCAGCCCTAATGTCGATAAACACTAAGATTGTTGACCTGTGATAAGTATGACGGTGTTCCAGCATTTGGTGGAGGGTGAAGATATGATCAATACATCCTCCACCAGAGCCAGATGGTGAAGCTACTTTGTTCACCCTAAGATTTTCGACTGTTTTGAAAATGATCGGCTTTTATTTAGTTTCTTCAAACTACAAGTCAAGATAACTCCGCCTGGAGTCCCTTCGGAGGCTACTCCAGGTTTCAAGCCCGGAAAAGGGGGGTCGGGCATGGGGTTAGCGACCCCATCCCGTAAAAAACTAACTCGATAAAAAACCAGAAAAAATATCCGAACCATTTAAAATCTGTCCTGCGAGTCAGGTGGTTTTCATTTAGAAGAGTTATGAAGCCTCATAGTGAAAGCCGAGTTCCCTCGGAAGTCACGAGGCTGAAGCCCCTTCTGACAACCAGAGCAACCATTTATTTAGGTACATGGAATGTTCGTACAATGTGGGACACCTGGAGAGCCTTCCAAATTGCTGCAGAAATGAGAAGATACAACCTAGAGGTACTTGGGATCAGTGAAACACATTGGACGCAAGTTGGACAACAACGACTAACTTCAGGAGAACTTCTGTTATACTCCGGCCATGAAGAAGAAAATGTCCCACATACACAAGGAGTTGCATTGATGCTATCCAAACAAGCACAACATGCACTTATAAGATGAGGACCATCAAAGCCTCCTTCAAAACAAAGAAAGAGGGTATTACAATGAACATCATCCAATGCTATGCGCCTACCAACGACCACAATGAAGACGTTAAGGATCAATTCTACAATAGGCTGCAGTCAATCATCGAGAAGTGCCCAACAAAGGACCTGACCATTCTGATGGGAGATTTCAATGCCAAGGTTGGAACGGACAACACTGGATATGAAGACATCATGGGACGACACGGACTGGGAGAAAGAAACAGAAATGGTGAGAGATTTGCAAACCTATGTGCCTTCAATAAACTGGTCATAGGCGGCACCATATTACCACATAAACGCATACACAAAACCACTTGGACTTCACCGGATCACACTACACAAAACCAAATCGACCACATCTGCATCAACAAAAAGTTCAGGAGGGCGATGGAAGACGTGAGAACCAAGAGAGGAGCTGATATAGCATCAGACCATCAATTGCTGATCGCCAAGATGAAATTGAAACTCAAGAAGCACTGCACAACGTGGCGGACAACATCACAGAAGTTCACTACGGCCTTTCTTCAGGATACTGACAAACTCAACAAATTTAAGGTAGTCCTCAGCAATAAGTTTCAGGCCTTTCATGATCTACTCAATGGAGAGGGAACTACTATAGAGAGCAGTTGGAAAGGTATAAAGGGGGCAATCACTTCAGCATGTCATGAGGTCCTGGGCCACAAGAAGCACCACCACAAGGAATGGATCACTGTTGATACACTGGATAAATTCAAGAAAGGAGGAACAAGAAGGCAGCAATCAATACCAGCCGACCAAGAGCAGAAAAAGCCAAGGCACAAGCTGAATACACAGAAGTAGACAAACAAGTGAAGAGGAGCATCAGGACCGACAAACGTAAATATGTGGAAGATTTAGCAACGACGGCGGAAAAGGCTGCAAGAGAAGGAAACATGAGACAACTGTATGACATAACAAAGAAACTCTCTGGAAATCGCCGCAAACCAGGACGACCAGTGAGAAGTAAGGAAGGTGAGGTAATCACCAACATTGAAGAGCAACGAAACAGGTGGGTAGAACACTTCAATGAACTCTTGAATCGACCAGCCCCACTGAACCCACCCAACATCGAAGCAGCACCCACGGACCTCACAATCGATGTTGGCCCACCAACAATTGAAGAGATAAGCATGGCCATCAGGCAAATCGATAGCGGTGAAGCAGCAGGACCAGACAACATTCCAGCAGAGGCACTAAAAGCAGAAGTAGCGGTAACTGCAAAGATACTCCACATTCTATTCAGCAAAATTTGGGATGTAGAACAAGTACCAACAGACTGGAAAGAAGAACTTCTGATCAAAATACCGAAGAAAGGCGATCTCAGCAACTGTGATAACTACAGGGGCATCACTCTTCTCTCAATACCGGGAAACGTCTTCAACAGGATATTGTTAAACAGGATGAAGGACTCCGTAGAAGCCCAACTTCGAGACCAACAGGCAGGATTCCATAAGGATAGATCGTGTACAGAATAAATCGCAACTCTACGGATCATTGTGGAACAATCAATTGGATAGAATTCATCACTCTACATCAACTTCATTGACTACGAGAAGGCATTTGATAGCATGGACAGAACAACACTACGGAAGCTTCTTCGACACTATGGCGTGCCTCAGAAAATCGTCAATATCATGCAGAATTCCTATGGTGGATCAAACTGCGACGCCATGCATGGAGGACAGCTCATAGATTCGTTTGAAGTAAACGCCGGTGTCAGGCAAGGAAGACGTCAACATCTGAAGGGAAACACGAGATACAGTGGACATCTAGGATGCAGCTAGACGATCTAGACTTCGCAGATGATCTAGCTCTCCTATCGCACACGCAACAACAAATGCAGAAGACGAACAGTGTAGCAGCAGCCTCAGTATCAGTAGGTCTCAATATACACAAAGGGAAAAGCAAGATTCTCCGATACAACACAGCATGCACCAATCCAATCAAAATTGACGGAGACGATTTCGAAGATGTAAAAACCTTTACGTATTTGGGCAGCATCATTGATGAACATGGTGGATCTGATGCAGATGTGAAGGCGCGGATCGGCAAAGCAAGAGCAGCATATTTACAACTGAAGAACATCTGGAACTCAAAGCAACTGTCAACCAACACCAAGGTCAGGATTTTCAATACGAATGTCAAGACAGTTCTACTGTATGGGGCAGAAATTTGGAGAACTACGAAAGCCAACATCCAGAAGATACAGGTGTTTATCAACAGTTGTCTACGCAAAATACTTCGGATCCTTTGGCCAGACACTATCAGCGACAACCTACTGTGGGAGAGAACAGACCAGATCTCAATGGAGAAAGAAATTAGGAAGACGCACTGGAAGTGGATAGGACACACATTGAGGAGAGTACCCAACTGCGTCACAAGGCAAGCCCTCACATAGAATGCTCAAGGCCAAAGGAGGAGAGGAAGACAAAATAACACATTATGCCGAAAAGTGGAGACAAACATGAAAAGAATGAACAAAAATTGGATGGAACCAGAAAAGAAGGCCCAGGACAGAGTGGTTTGGAGAATGTTGGTCGGCGGCCTATGCTCCATTGAGAGTAACAGGCGTAAGTAAGTAAGTAACAAGTCAAGATACTTAGTTGCTAAATGTTGCTACATTAAGTTCCCTTAGTGTGCCAAAACAGACTGAATTTATCAATTACGATAACGTGAGAGGAGAATACCTATAAAAAATACACACAAATGGATGCACATTTACAGTAGCACATTGTTTAAAAACACAACAGATCAATACACCATTTAAGACACACAAAATATGCATAATTAACTTTACATTCAACAACTAACCTATTGCACGATAAATACCATCAATATCTGCATAGGTGATAAATGCGATTCCTTGAGAGTGACCTTGAGAGTCTGTTACCAGATTACAAGTGTTTAGATCTCCAACTTCTCTGAATATTCTTTTCACATCATGTGAATCAAATGAGAATGGAAGCTAAAAATAGATAGTATACACAAGAATTTCTCCCTAAGTGACGCCGAAATATTGTTATTACTGTGACATACTAGTTATTTGGTAACCATTCTTGATAGAAATTACAAGCAAATAAACCTTCTATTACAATAATTTAGGTAAGAACAGAGATATTTTACAAATAACCTTAAAATCCGTTTTGATGTGCACGCTTGTGTAATAGTAACTTGATAATAATTGAGTTACACTGACTGTGAGTACACAATATATAACTCTCTTACCAATCAAATATACATTCATATATCTTAGTTATTAAGGCAGGTGATTTGCATTTAATAGGTGCAAACACCCCCCACTATGCTTGCACTGGTTTGAACAACCAAGTATCCTGTCAATTAACGTTATACACAAAGTATTCGTCTTAAAGCTGGAAACAAAACCTGTACTTGAAAAAAGAATGACGTTAAATAGTTACTAGTACCACACATAATACGTAATAAACAGACAGACAGATTGTCACTCAATTTCTGAAACATATACTAAGGATTGTGAGTTCGGTCAAATACAAACATTTGATACCCCCAACGCTCTATCAATATGAAAGTTGACAAATGAGTGACTTTTAAAGTAATGAATATTATAGTATAAACTGAGAGAACAAACAACCACAAAGTCAACAAAATAAACCGACTTAAGGCATATGGAATAATCAAAGAAGCTCATTCCTACAAGAAGTAAATACTGATGTTGTCCAGAATGAAAATGAAAACTATATAACTCAGAGAACTCAACAGCACCAAAAGTCTAAAATCTCGCAGATGTTGAGTAAGGGAACCATAAGACAACTTAGGATCTGGGTACAAATATGCACTGGTCCAAGCTGCCACATATCAAATTGGGGCAGAGAAGGAGAAAAGGAGATTAAAGGATGAAAAAATATCGAAGTAATTAAAACATTATGAAAGTAAAGAACCTAAAAGTAGAAAAAATATTGGTAAGTGATATTCAACACACAACAACTCTAGATGGAGTACCATTTTTGAAAACCAGAATGTATGAATCTACTTACAATAAATTTCTTAAATTTACATTAAGTCGCAAACTTAAACTAAAAGAAAATCTTACATTTTTCACAACTACTTTTTCAGGTATCTGACGTCGATCATTGTTATGTTGTGGACCATTTTCATCACGTCCTCGATCAGATGATCTAGAGTAACTTCCACGGCCCGGAAGATTAGGCGACCCTGATTTCATCAGAGAACCGCCAATATTATATGAATCTTGTCTGTTACTCCGAGAATCTACCCGATAATTACCTAATAAATGAAGATTATTATCATTAATATTACCAATATTAATCAAAGAATAAATGGAAATATCAAAAACATAAAGTTGTCAATATGATTCAATTGTTTAGATCATGACACGCACACGCACGCACGAAGATACTTGACAAAATTAGCATCTAGAAAAATGTACTTTAGTTATTTGATGTAAAGTCACGTTACTACGTAAAAAGGAAATTTTTAATATTACGTCAAAAAGAAAATAGAAGCATGACAAGCATGCTACTAGGTAAAGCGAACAAATTGTTATATTTAACCAATGCATTATCATTAGAAGGATAAAAACGAGCATATAATACTAGATGAAAACAATTCCATATTCTAATACTCCACCAATTAAGCCATATCCAATACATTTACACATACGATTACTGACATTTACACTTAGTTGGACAATTTACTCAAACTGTCCTCACTGAAGTGAATATTAAAAAATTGGAAATGTCGAATATGATCAGTTTCGATAAGCCTAAATGTATTTTGATTGAATTACGACAAAAATAAATAAACTATGATGCAAACAGATCCATTTGGAAAAATTATTTTAAAAGGAAATAGGTATATAACTGTCGTAGAGCTTGGAACGCACCATCAAATCAAACAGTATACTGTGTAGAGAAAGCGAAATGAACATCAGCACTACATTGATGACCATCCAAAAAATCCAAGAACTGCTGTACAAAAGCCTAAAATGACACCGGAACTCTGACTAAAAAATACGGGAGGTATTGTAAGTTCCATCACGGAAAACAAAAAATACCTTCAAAAACTTTGATTTATAATTATTAACGACTATAGAAATACACACAGCTGTAATGGTCACAGATAATATCAATAAAAATATCAGTTAGAACTGTATTGGGAAAACATCAGTGGAGAATAACAGATTTACAAATCAACGAAATCGAACTTATGCAGTACACAACAACACAAGTTCACTCACACAGTCTAGCTCACCTGGAATTTCATACTTTGAACGACCAACATATCCATTGTCAAAATGTGATCTATCAACGCTTCTGTCACCACACCCACCACCATCTCGACCAATAATATTTGAAGCATTCAACTGACCAGACTGATGATCCGAATGAGAATTCTACACACACACACACACATATGTATGTATAATATAATATGTGAAGATAAGAGAAGAGTGACACAACTGAACGAACTAACGACACCAGATACTGTATAAGTTGATTGTATATTTTAAAAAATCATTTATTTGTCCTGACAACATAATCCACATACAGTATTCCCCAGGATAATTAACAAACACTTTTCTTGTCTCTAATCCAACCACTTTAAATACATGCAACTACTCGAAATACATACTGATAATAAGTATTAGAAAATAGACAAACTAAACAATATAAATCTTTGATTTGAAAACCGAAACTTACTGGATAAACTTGTTGAATGTTTTAAGGATAAGATGACTATTCTAAGAGAAGAATGACATCAACTACATACATACGCACATGTGAATCCTCCCTTTTTCCAAACCTACTAAAGTCGAGAAGTTTTAAGAACACAAAATGAATAATTCTGTTCGCGTAGCCAACTCCAGTCTTGAAAAAAACTGATCTAATCACTGTAGAATAGTAGTCAATCATTAAGAAATCAAGATAATGAATTATTTGTTTACTTCAAAATTTACGGAATAGTTTTCCTTTTGTCTGAACCCAGAAGACTATCAAAAAATGTCTATCATCTCCTTGATTTCAATGATAGAATTCAACAAATTGGACAGAATCACTTGATATCAATCATTGAGAAAACGGATAAATTAGTCCTCTAGTTAGTAATCATTAAAATCTTGATAGCCACAAAACAACACTCGAACAAAAAATACACACGCAGACTAAATTCAACAAAAGAGCGCCAGAAGCTTTAAACAACGAATGCATAAATACATTTTTAGAAAAATAATTAGCCCCGAAAACAGAAATGAGTGGTACTACCTACAGGTGTAACTGTGTGTAAAAGTAAGAATCTGCTCACAACTATATCAATAACTCCCATAAGAGCTAATAAAAAAATAAACATCTAATGAAAATAAGTGGAATGTCCAATAAATGAGTTACTTATAAAAGCGTATGCAAAATTTAGGCTTCATCAATCGCCTTCAAAATGTCCCCTATTAGCTGTAACATCCGTGAGACGATACCCTAGGGGGCCGTCCGGTGGATGTAGAGGATAATCTGGCTTAGTGTTCGAATTAAAGACCATAAACAACAATCAACACTAACGTGTAGGTAGATTATCATATATTTATTGGATAGACAATATGCTCATAGTAAAATTAAGACACTTCACTGATTAGTAACCCAACCGTTGCTACTACCCTGACGTGGTGGCTGGGCTTGGCTATCGTGATGAATCGACCGGGCTATACTGCATGGAACAATTGTTTCTCAAGGTCCTACCATGCCAGGTAGGTCGGCTGAAGAGCGGTAAGACTAAAAGCAGCATGTCCAAGGTCCGAGGGTGAAGTCGTGATGCTGATTAGAGGTGTGGTGGCAACAAGGGGATTCCTTCGGACAACCAGCCTTGCCACAAAGAAAGATGGGGTTTTTCTGCATGCACCTGGAAAGGAAATTGGGTTCGAGGTGGTCTTAGTGACTTGAGAGCATGACCTTAGTCCCAAAGGAACAACTGCTTGAGGTCTGTCACACATGACCTTTTTGTCAATTTGTGTACTTGTTGGGACCTTACCGCCGGAGACGGGAATCCGTGGGATAAGGTGAGGTGATTAATAAGTGGATGAAGGTATAGAAAAATTAAAAAGGTTTGAGGAGATACCAAGACTCAGATTCTAAAAGACAAGGAAAGAATGCACCTCTGCTGCTGCGAACAATTCTGAATCATAGCAATTAAAGACTTCTAATTCAAAAACTTCGTGGAATAGTTTTCGTATTTATTGGACAAACTGCACTATTTTTGAGAGAATTCATAGATATGTATACATACCTGGAAAAAACCTAGAGTCGATAATACAGAGGTTATTTGTGTCTGAGACATTCCACCAGCGACAGCTGCTGAAATTAATTGTTGTAATCCATCTTGAGGGAGTTGACCTGAGTAGGATCGATTGATTCCTGAACCTTAAACAAAAATGAAAAATTAGATAAGTGAAGATTTGAACAACGACAACACTATTAGGAACTAACAATTTAAGTTTCATAAGGTTTAAAAGTGGAACATAGAAATAAATACTTGATCTACCACACATACAACTTGACGATAATATTGCACTATAAAGCAATCATAACCTTAGAAAGTAAATATAGATAAGTTTGAATCTGTTAGTCATTTCCGGATATACAAGATTTTGAGAAGTTGAGAATTGTCATTAGACAGTGGGCAAATTCACTGCTGTTTCTTACCCTGATGACAACTTGTACCGATCCTAACCGATGTGCATGCATCCTTCAATTGTTCAAATTCTGTGGGTTGAGAACAATGATATAACTGAAAAATGAAATGAGGTTAAGCATCCGCGCGAGAACAAAGGTCCTGAGTTCGAGTGCCGTGTACGTATCTACCGAGGAGTTCCATATTAGGATGAAACGACCGTCTAGTGCTTCCAGGCTTTCGATGGTGACCTAACACTGACAGGTTCGTGATCTCAATTGAAGACGATTTTTCTTTAAATTTCGCATTTTGACAGACTAAATATAGGTTGAGGGCAGTATACCTGATGGAAAATAAGTGAGACCTTAAATTTGCATATAATTCTAAATAATAAAATGTAAAACTAACACACAATGTTTGTAAGTCTTAGAAATAACACAGAACATAAATGTAGTTTACAAGATTCATACTTGGTGAAGCATCTGGGATTGATGACAATGACTGACCAGTAAAGTTGGAAGAGTTATTAGATGATCCAGTAGTTGCCAAAGTATTCAGACCCCCAGAAAGATTTGCATTTGACGCCAAATTACGAAGAACTTCAATTATGCCACTCTGAGGATTTGTATCGGCATTTGTTTTCAAACCAAGTAAAGTCACAAGAGCAGCAATAATATTTGAAGATTGTTGTTGGTCAGTCAGGATAGGATTGGAGGGGATCATTGAACCAGTGGAACCCAGAATTCCAGATGAGCCAGTTCGTTGTTGTGGGGGATAAACTATGTTCATTGAAGCAGGAGTACCCTGGCGATCAATCTTTACACGCATTGGTCTGTCTTTTAATATCTAGCGCAAAAAGTAGTATGAATTTAATCTCTTCATACACCACGAAGCAACAAATGTGAAGATAGTATATAAGTGTCAGGAATTACGAACGAAAAGAAAAAACTGTACAGACAAACTTCCAGAAGCATTTTATCAACAATGCAATAACGAAATATCTGATGATAGACAATGTTATCGAAAAGCCCAGAAAGCCGTATACAGTCACTTTAAAACATGTTAATGGAAGGCTAAAATATGCGAAGCATCATCTATGGGTTGGTGCACTGTATCAACCAAGACCTCACGTTAATCGACAAGAATATTGCAGCCAAATATCAATGATTCACCAATACTAAACATGACGTTACTTTGACCCAATCTGGAAGACGTGGTCTGAAATTGCACATTGGCTTCGGCTCAGGTAAGAAACCTTCGAGATTTTTCATTCTTGTAAGTCAACCAGAAGAGACGAAAAATCTTTTATCCATATGCTGGTGTTGAGGTATATGATATTTCTATAGACCACTTCCAATTATTCGAATCAACTTGAGAAGTTGGAACTTTCTATACCCGTCACATTTTCTCCGATACAAGGTTATGGATACTTATTTAATTTTAAAAACTAACTCACTAAACACAAACACATACCTGGTTGTTAAACATATTGACGGCTTGGACTGCTTCATACGCATTCGAAAATTTTAATATGCCAACACCACGAGAATTCCCTTCTGAGTCTGTTTTTATAACCGAGCTGAGAATTTTCCCAGCTGATTTGAAGACATCTTTAAGCTTCTGCCACGTTACACTATAGTCAAGCTAAAAGTAATGACATAAATTTGAGACATAACCTACATTACTGACGTACACAGAATCAGTGATTGGCCCGTCCATACCGACTTGACCTAAGATTTGAGGAGTGAAAACAGGTCCTGCTGCTGCCATATTTACAGACTCGTTGGGATTTCCAGAATCACTTAGAAGCCCTCCGTCAACTTCCATTGATGCAAAGCGAGCAGCATCACGAGCAGTCTCTTGTCGAACAACCAATTTTCTGTCTCCAACTTCAAACCGATGCATCATCTCAATAGCTTTTTGTGCTCCTTCGAGTGTCTTGAACTCCATCAAACTTTACAGTAATAAAAGTTAATAGGACAAGACATGACTCCTTACCCCATACCGTTTGGTTTTCCATTTTTTTTAAACAACTGTAGAAAGCCAGTAAACCCGACTAATTTGTAACATCAAAATATCCCAGCTTACTTTGTTCTCTAAACAACTCCTTCAGTTTTTGCCAATTTAAATCATATGGGATGTTTGCAATGACTATGCGTTTTGATCTCACTCGACTTTGTTGAGGAGAACGACTTCTTGATCTCCTTTTGATAGGTGAACGATGCCTCGTAGAACTTTGGTCGTCTTGACTTCTGTGTTTTTATCTTTAAGAGACAATGACTAACCTTTCACCTGAAAAAGTACTCATGGATGCCAACGGACGCTAGATCAAGTAGAGCAGGAACGCCGAGTACAGACAAACAGAACCAAATTGACCGCTTCACTTTCAACATCATTCGTAGAAAAGTATATATGTAATATGTGCATATTTAATTGCTTCATAGATCTGAGAAAACACAATAAGTGGATAGGAATCCCGTAAGTTGTACTCCTAGACTTTCTGATGTAGTGAATGATATCAGTGGCGCCTTTCACTGATGTTCCTGTCTTTTCTTTGGGACTCCATTACATCTAAACAGTAAACAAACCCTCGCTGGAATAATTATCACTCTTCCTGCACCACGAGACCCGAATTTTCATGGAGAATACTCAGTGAGTTCCTCAGTTTAGATGGGTAGCATATCATTTATATTTCAATGTGTATTATCAAAGTTGTCACATTACTAACTATACTATTCTGAGAAAATCAGGAGACTTTCATTCCCTAAACTACATCAATCATATCAGTACCAATTAAGTGTTAAGAATCTGACCATTGATATGACGAGTTCCAAATCGTAAGTATGGTACAAATTGATAAAATGGTGCTATTTCTGCTATTTCTGCCAACTAGATGTAAGTAGGACATACGACTAGAGAGCTTGCTTTGAGATGTGATGATGAATAAAATGTCCCGAATAAACCTGCTCGTTTGCACGTGTTGTGCATGGGATCCTGTAAAATACTGATAATTTAGAACTGTTGAAAAACTCGGACGATCTAACAGTCACTACTTTAATCTGTGGACGGCTTGCTACGTTGGTATCAGAAATATCTACCCATAGACATCTACATGTAAGGGCCTTCCAGCGTGTAAACTGGTTGTCTATCTTAATAAAAAAGACGATTCTGAATGTCTACTCTTTACCTACGTCATTACAGCAACTAAAGTGTGCTTAAGATGTAGTTAATAATGTCATTCTGCAACTAGCACAAAAAAAACATTTATTTTAAGAGTTTTTTACACCAGTTACCAGGCTTTACTATTCCCTAGTAACCTGCCCGAATCTGGCCACCTGTTTAATTCTTTTCACAACACAATGTCGTATTAAAATCATATATAGTTATCAGAACAAATATGGCCCCTGAATAGTGTCAGATGCTATCGTGAGAGTATACTAAAATAATATCTGAAGGCGAGATATAATGCAACACATATTTTCAAATTTATAGTTTGATAATTATAAAGACTAATGATTGGCTGACAGCAGATATTATTAGTTTCGCACCGAATCTCTTCATTTGCCCCACTTCCTTTTGAATACATCCGAGAGAAATGTTTTACTCGAGCCGTTCCGATTGTTGGCAGCTCTCTGCAAGCTGATCATTTTTTAATCAGTGTGTGAAAAGTTATAGTGCCGTTCTGAAATGTTAGAAAAAAAATCATTTTAAATCAGAAATGTTCCGTTATTTTTATGACTATCATATCCTGTAATCCGATTGGCGGGATGAACTGCCCTCTACTGTTTGTGCATCATTTGAAGGTGCAGATACTTCTAAGATACAGTACAATATCTTGACAATATGGTCGTTTGGGTTACTTAACTATAACCACAAGGATTATATAAATTATCCTATCACTATTGCATCTCACAAACAACCTGAATAATGCTCCTCATAAAGTTGAATCACACACCTAAGAAAGCTTGAAGAGAACAGAAGCTCCTAAGTAGTATGTTTGGGACGTTGGTGGCTTTCATGAACTAAGACAATATGAGAAACAAAGCTAGTAGACAAAGACAATATCTTACCTCAAGTGGCAAGGTTTGGTACTGGAACCAACGAAAACAACGTGATGACTAACCATGAAAAATCAGGAAAGATTTGTTCTATCACACTTAAAACAAAATAAGATGATAATACATTTCGGAAGTAGAAGGTACACGCTTGTTTTATAGGCATGGTCAATAAATAATATGGGTTTTCAGATAAGATGCTGCCAAAACAACGTTTGTAAATAAATAAAATCGGAAAGAAATGGCGGAACATTCATGCAGATATATCAAAAGTTAATCAACAGGTTTACGAATAAATCTGAGTTCACAGTTGTTGTGATCTGTTTCAAAACGACAACGCGTATAGGCTGTGACCTGAATGAGCTCACGCCTAGGCCGAACTTGACATTCGCGTATTATAAATTGTAGTGCAAATAAGTATGGTAACTAGTGGATAAAACTCATATCACCTGCCATGAATTGTAGTTAAAGCGTCTACGTAATGCTAAAGCTTATCTTAGTGTTAAATCCTAGCAAAGAATAAATGAACGGTAGCCACTAGAAATTATTGGTGGACTATTAATACATATATTCCTATTGAATAATTGTTAAGTAACTAGATCATACTCTGCTTTTACTTACGCCTGTTACTTACTACGGATCATGAGTATTTATACTCCTTTTATCATAGGCCTTTTTAAATATTGACTATTATTATACGATTTGTTATTCTTAAGTTATTCTCAATTTATTAGTTACAGCCTCTCACAATCACATCCACTTTTTGACTTGATCTTGCGTAATTGTTATTTTCCATTTTATGGTATGATGCTGTATGATTTGCTTGTATATAAACCACGTATGTCTGAAATACATGATTCATATGACGGAAGCTAATATTGGTCTTCTGGACTGAACCGGCAGTTTTAGGAGAGAAGCTACTATTTCCAAGGACCAGTACGTGTAGTGGTATCAATCATAACCACACAATCCTCAAAACTGAACATGAGATAACCGGGAAAATAAATATTCCACCCTTAACACGAAGAGAAATCCAACAATAGTGAACGCGGAAATATTCATTCAATCAGATGGCATGGCTCAGCCTTACGGACATGATCATTCTGTATAACTTGTCTTTACTCGCGTTAAATATATATTATTCTATTCTTGGCCTAAATGTGTTCTTGCGAAACTCCAAGCATCATGTTATTAATTGTTACCATACGATGAGTCAGTGTAGACAATAATGTGACTCCCACGTAAGATAATATAGATTAAGCAACTACATTATGACAAATCTGCAATTTTGGTATTGGGCCAATTATTAGAACATTACTAGTAACTAACCTAGACCATAGTTCTATATAAGAACTCAGAATTGACTCTAGGCTGTTCGTACTGGCTTGTGCGTCATTGGTCTGATCAGTAGGTCGATGTTTTAATCAGTGATCTTATCATGTGGTGATTAACATGCCATAAAAATATAACGCTTCGCACGTTACAGGTCATTTTAGCGGAACAGTAAAGCCATCATAAGACTGGAAACATGAGTCTGAGCAGAGAGCAAGGGAGAACAACCCCAGTATCACTGAATAGCTTTCCACACTTTAATCGTAAAGAGCCTGGAGCAAACACATGTTCTGTCCCAAAAAACGGGTGGATTGAAGTCATTGACCTCACTATCAATACATGTTGGTCAGTAACCTCACTTTAACTCTGCCTATAGCCTCTCCGGGGGCTACTCCAGGTCTCAAGCCCGGAAAAGGGGGGTCGGGCATGGGGTTAGCGACCCCATCCCGTAAAAAACTAACTCGATAAAAAACCAGAAAAAATATCCGAACCATTTAAAATCTGTCCTGCGAGTCAGGTAGTTTTCATTTAGAAGAGTTATGAAGCCTCATAGTGAAAGCCGAGTTCCCTCGGAAGTCACGAGGCTGAAGCCCCTTCTGACAACCAGAGCAACCATTTATTTAGGTACATGGAATGTTCGTACAATGTGGGACACCTGGAGAGCCTTCCAAATTGCTGCAGAAATGAGAAGATACAACCTAGAGGTACTTGGGATCAGTGAAACACATTGGACGCAAGTTGGACAACAACGACTAACTTCAGGAGAACTTCTGTTATACTCCGGCCATGAAGAAGAAAATGTCCCACATACACAAGGAGTTGCATTGATGCTATCCAAACAAGCACAACATGCACTTATAAGATGAGGACCATCAAAGCCTCCTTCAAAACAAAGAAAGAGGGTATTACAATGAACATCATCCAATGCTATGCGCCTACCAACGACCACAATGAAGACGTTAAGGATCAATTCTACAATAGGCTGCAGTCAATCATCGAGAAGTGCCCAACAAAGGACCTGACCATTCTGATGGGAGATTTCAATGCCAAGGTTGGAACGGACAACACTGGATATGAAGACATCATGGGACGACACGGACTGGGAGAAAGAAACAGAAATGGTGAGAGATTTGCAAACCTATGTGCCTTCAATAAACTGGTCATAGGCGGCACCATATTACCACATAAACGCATACACAAAACCACTTGGACTTCACCGGATCACACTACACAAAACCAAATCGACCACATCTGCATCAACAAAAAGTTCAGGAGGGCGATGGAAGACGTGAGAACCAAGAGAGGAGCTGATATAGCATCAGACCATCAATTGCTGATCGCCAAGATGAAATTGAAACTCAAGAAGCACTGCACAACGTGGCGGACAACATCACAGAAGTTCACTACGGCCTTTCTTCAGGATACTGACAAACTCAACAAATTTAAGGTAGTCCTCAGCAATAAGTTTCAGGCCTTTCATGATCTACTCAATGGAGAGGGAACTACTATAGAGAGCAGTTGGAAAGGTATAAAGGGGGCAATCACTTCAGCATGTCATGAGGTCCTGGGCCACAAGAAGCACCACCACAAGGAATGGATCACTGTTGATACACTGGATAAATTCAAGAAAGGAGGAACAAGAAGGCAGCAATCAATACCAGCCGACCAAGAGCAGAAAAAGCCAAGGCACAAGCTGAATACACAGAAGTAGACAAACAAGTGAAGAGGAGCATCAGGACCGACAAACGTAAATATGTGGAAGATTTAGCAACGACGGCGGAAAAGGCTGCAAGAGAAGGAAACATGAGACAACTGTATGACATAACAAAGAAACTCTCTGGAAATCGCCGCAAACCAGGACGACCAGTGAGAAGTAAGGAAGGTGAGGTAATCACCAACATTGAAGAGCAACGAAACAGGTGGGTAGAACACTTCAATGAACTCTTGAATCGACCAGCCCCACTGAACCCACCCAACATCGAAGCAGCACCCACGGACCTCACAATCGATGTTGGCCCACCAACAATTGAAGAGATAAGCATGGCCATCAGGCAAATCGATAGCGGTGAAGCAGCAGGACCAGACAACATTCCAGCAGAGGCACTAAAAGCAGAAGTAGCGGT